CCTATATCTCTGTAATCATTTCCGCTAGACCCCAAGTGTGATACATCGATGAAATCAGCTCTTCAGAGAGAACCTGAAAATGCAATAAAATACAGGGTGTTCCGTTTGAAACAAAAAGTTGTTGCTACTTTTCGATAGAAGCGGCAACGCCGCAGAGCTGAAAATATTTTAGATCGATAGACCAAGAGCAACTACGTGAGTAACCAAAATTTCAGAATGATCCTATGTCCCGTTCTCCGTAAACGTCTAACGTACCATGGACCGTGAGTTACCCTGTATATGAATAAATTTTGGGATGCTGCCTGCTCTCTGCACAGCTTAATCAGTGAATGGTTCAGGCTTCAGGGTAATGTCTGAATAAGTAGAAAGATGATCAGAATTAGAATAGAAGGACAATTTATTTTCCATAGTGAAATTATATTGCACAATGACCACAATGAATATAATAACTAATCTGACATATAAATATCACCTGAAAGTGGAAATACTTATGTAAATATTTATTTTGTTATCATATGATGTTGAATTCAGTTATATCACCAAGATTATTTGTTTCCTATTAAGTAGGTATAATGAATTTGAATCATCCATGAAATGCAAACTTTTCTAAAACTCTTCGCACATATATACCAAATATTTTTTTGTTTTTGTATAAATGACGATAACTCCGTTGTTATTAACACAAAACTATTACTGCGACATATCATCTGTAAGTGAAAAAAAAGTTATTTGTAACTAAGTCATAGTGAGCTATGACCTACATTCGAAAAACTAAAGTTGGTGCTGATATCTCAAATGCTAGAAGAGCTGGTATATATTTTATATTTTTTTCGAAATCACTCTGAAAACTGCCATGAGAATGTAAAATTCCTATTTGAATATTTTCATAAATAAAGAAGTTACGGAGGAGACATGAAAATGATCAAAATCTGTTTTTTTGCGTATAAAACAAAAACAAATAGATTTTATCAAAATATTTTTTCACATTATAGTTAGCCTTGACAAACTCCACATTTGGTGTCATTTAACCGACCTGGTATCTCTCACCGTTAAAAAGATACCCATGGTGAGCATGGTAAGTGGGACACACTGTATAGGGTGATTCAATATTCGATGTAAATATTTCAAGGACCTATTGTTTGGATCAAAATCAGACTTTTTCTTCATATAAACGTGTGTCTCAAAATGCACCCCATATTTCGGCCAATGAAAGTGAAGGCCCCCCTCCAACCCCCCCAAAACTGGGTTTACATAATGTTTGAAGAAAGAATGAAATAAAGTTTCTAAAAGGACAGGGGCCTGCCAATTTTCAGAAGATTTGATCCGTTATTTTAGTCACAATTTTAGAATATCTTTTTTCTTTACCTAACTCACAGTAGCTGTAGCTTGGAGGGAGTGAATTTTAGGACACATGTTTATATTAAGAAAAAGTCTCATTTTGATCCCAACAAAATGTCCTTAAAATATTCCCATCGAATTTTGAATCTCCATGTATACAGTGTGTCCCACTTACCATGCTCACCATGGGTATCTTTTTAACGGTGAGAGATACGAGGTCGGTTAAATGACACCAAATGTGGAGTTTGTCAAGGCCAACTATAATGTGAAAAAATATTTTGATAAAATTTATTCGTTTTTGTTTTATACGCAAGAAACAGAATTTCACATTCTCATGGCAGTTTTTCAAAGTAATTTCGAAAAAGATATGAAATTTTTACCAACTCTTCTTGAATTTGAGATATCAGCACCAACTTTAGTTTTTCAAACGTAGGTCATAGCTCACTATGACTTAGTTACAAATAACTTTTTTTTTCTTACAGATGATATGTCGCAGTTAAAGTTTTGTGTTGATAACAACGGAGTTATCGTCATTTATACAAAAACAAATAATTATTTGGAAGCGGCCATCTTGAATTTATAAATTTTAACAAAAAAAATCATGATCCTCGATCCCAAAAACCTTCACTTACCAATTTTGAATGGAATCGGACCAAATCTTGTCTGCCATCTTGGAGCAGCCATTTTTTTAAATTTCAACAAAAATTCCATAACTCCGATTGACTTGAAATTTTGCAGGTGTTCATAATTTCGGTGACAATACATTATGAAATTTTTGTTGAAATTAAAAAAAAATGGCTGCTCCAAGATGGTGGACAAGATTTGGTCCGATTCCATTCATAATTGGTAAGTGAAGGTTTTTGAGGTCGAGGATCATGATTTTTTTTGTTAAAATTTATAAATTCAAGATGGCGGCTCCCAAATAATTTTTTGTTATTGTATAAATGACGATTACTCCGTTGTTATCAACACAAAACTGTTACTGCGACATATCATCTGTAAGAGAACAAAAAGTTATTTGTAACTAAGTCATAGTGAGCTATGACCTACATTCGCAAAACTAAAGTTGGTGCTGATATCTCAAATTCTAGAAGAGATGGTATAAATTTCATAATTTTTTCCGAAATCACTTTGAAAAACTGCAATGAGACTGTGAAATTCCTATTTGAATATTTTCATAAATAAAGAAGTTACGGAGGGGACATGAAAATGATCAGAATCTGTTTTTTGCGTATAAAACAAAAACGAATAGATTTTATCAAAATATTTTTTCACATTATAGTTGGCCTTGACAAACTCCACATTTGGTGTCATTTAACCGACATCGTATCTCTCACCCTTCCGAAAAATAATCCGAGAAAGAACTGAAAGTAAGTTTAATCTTCCATTCCACTTCGCGGTTATGTAAATTACTAAACAACTAAGTTCGCAATTTTTAAAAATCGAAACACAGAATTAAGGCGGCTGCACAATTGCCCGGGAACGAGAACGTGAACGAGAACGAGAATGGGAAAAAAATTAAGCTACACATATTTTAATGTACCCATGCACAACCGATTTCCGGGAACGAGAACGAGAAGATGCCCGGGAACGAGAACTAGAAAGTTGGCCAAGTTTCAACTTTCCCGTTCCCGTTGCATTCCCGGAACCAATCGCAGCACAGATATTGGATGCCATAAGAAGAAGAAGATAACCTAGTTTACAAACTATTCTAGTCTAGTGGATTGTCAAAAATGAATGACGAAGAATTGATAAACTTGGTGGAACAATGTCCTCACCTATACGATCGGTCTCTGAAAAACCAACATCTCATCACTAATAACATCCATTATGTTGAAAATTATTTCTAAAGTCAAGCTGACACGCTGACAGTGTTTTGAAATATTAAAAAATAAATGGAAGAATGTCAGATATCCCTACTATTTCCGTTCTCGTTCTCGTTGTTTGTGCATCTGATAAAATATTTCAGTTCTGGTTTTCGTTCTCGTTCTCGTTCACGTTCTCGTTCCCGGGCAATTGTGCAGCCGCCTTTAGACTGACATACAGGGTGTTTCCTAACTATGGTTCCTAACTGCAGGTGGTGATTCGTTAGGCCATTTTAGAAAGAAAAGTTTCTATTAACATATGTCCGGAGTTGCTTCGTTTCTGAGATACAGGTCGATGAAATTGAAGAAAACAAACGGTACAAACGGTACCGATTTGGTTGAAATTTGGTACTATCATTTGACCCAATAAGGCGCTTATTTAGCTCTATTTAGATTGAAATTATTGGGGCCAGTGGCGTCTCAGTGGGCACCACAGCCAACAATATTGTAAAAAATAAGTACGCCACTGACTGGTAAATTTCAATTTTTTTCCAGATTAAGCAACTCAAAATACAACTTTTTGGTCTCTTGTATTCTCTTCATATCCAGCTTCGTTTTCGAGAAAAAAAAATTAAAGCCACTGTATTGCACCTGCATTGGAGAAATGAGTTTTTCATTTTTTCCGCCAAAAATATAATTGACACTTGATATGCTGAAATTTTAGAAAATTTGACAAATAAAAGTACCTAATTTCAATCAAATCGGTTCCAAGATATTCATGATATTTTATAATTATCGTTATTTTTTTTTCTTTGATTCCAATGCCCTGTATCTCAGAAACGAAGCAACTCAACACCCTGTATATTTGATTACTTAAAGAGTGATAAAGATGCCGGCAAAGCAGCTGTAATTCCTGTTAACAACTTTAAATTCCACGTCGATAATTTTCCGAATTTAATATAATGTGAAATCTTCTCAACTTCAATTCGTCCTTCTTCCTGTCATGGAAAAAAATAGTGTACCTATTACTTATACACGGGAAAAATATCAGATTTTAGCTCACGATTTTTTGTCTAACAACCTCGAGCTAAAATTTACTACTTTCTTTCCTTGTATAATAAATAACTTTTTTTTAATGGTCGGGATAGGATTCCTTAGCAAAATGTTCTTCTCTTTCATCATAATTATTATTTTATCATTGTTATCTTTTTCCGTAATTTCAATAATGAATCACCAATCTAATCATTTTACAATGATGTCTGGCATGCTTTATTAATGTTGATAAATAAATACTGATTAGAATATCTGGCACAGATTAATATAACACCCTATCCAATGTATTTCTCCTCATTGTTTTTTTAAATGCAATTTATGTCAGTATTGACAATTCCTTCACAAACAGTTCTCAAAGTTTCCAAGTTCAACTAGATACGTATTACTTAAATGGTGAAAAATAAGTTTGAAAGTGGGACAACTGTGCAGGATTTTCTTCACATCACTTATCCTTTTAATATTTCCTCAATTCGTATTTGGCTATTTTGAACCTAATACTTTAGGTATTTTCAGATTTGACTGACACAGTGGCATAATAATTTTATAACTGATAATTATTTTGCTATTGTGAAAGTCGTTCTAATACAAACAAAGGTTGGTTCAATTCACAACCATATAAACAATATCACATTACCTCAAAACTTATCAATTTCAGCTCACACAGGACAATTATCTGGCAGTGTCTATCAAATTATATAACAAGTCACTGTTCAAAATAGAGTTAAAAATAAAACAGACATACTATTTATTGCTGTTGTATTTTTAGTAAACTAGTGCATACTCTAACAAATTTCATTCTCACCTAATGTTTCCATGTGACTTATTGATTCAATACCAAGATTCAACCCTGTGTTTTAAAATCAATAAATCCAGCGTCTACAGAGTCCTTCTCTCAAACATCTGATGTGACATCAGAGCTGAGATAAATGTTTCTATTTTAGTGTTATATGTTAGTGGTAGGGATAAAAATTATTAGTGTTGGTGGGAAGCTATTATACAAGGGCAAATCAAGATCAGAACTGAGATTGAAACATAGTTGCCTGAATTTTGCTAAAGCATTTCAAAACCAAGTTAAAAATATGGTTTGGGTAACAGCAAATGATATGAATGTGAATGAAAATGTTAACAAAGAAGTAATTTGCCAGGATTTTGTGAGTTGGAGTTATGTGACAGTTGTTTTCTTTGCAGATGAGTGCAAACGTGTTGCCTTTCCAACTCCAAGCTGCTGAAGCTGCTAACCATTTGGAGCATATTTGTGCCCTCGATATTAATTCTAGAGCTTCCTATGTACGTCTATCAGGAATCATTTGTACTATTGGTGAGTAAATACATTAGTAAATAAATATTTTTTTGTAGTGTCAGTATTAATTTCATTATTGGTGGAACTGCGAAATATTCTATGAACATATACATTAAGTGATCACTAACACACACATAAAAAAATACATTGACAGTAAAGGTGAGTATCTTAAAGAGTTTCACAATTCAGGTAATCTTGGACAGAGTAGTAGCAATGTGATTTGAGGATTGATTTCACTCGATTCTTGAAAAGGTGTGAATTCACTGTTTTTATTGAATCAGGAAGTTTGTTGTATAGTTGTAGATTGGGTGATTTTTTCTGGGAAGTAGTTAGTTTATATTTTGGCGGTCTCAGTAGTTCTGCATTCCTTGTGTTGTGGTTGTGAATATCAGAATTAGAAGGACCATTTATTTTTATGTTTATCTAGCACAAAATAGTAGATGAATAAACAAGGTAATTTGAATTTTGTGAACAATGGTTTACATGAGGAATCATAAGCGGCATTAGCAATTAGTCTTACCGCTCGTTTCTGCAAACGAAAAATTCTCATTGATTGGCTTGAGTTGTCCCACGAAAGAATTCCATAAGTGAGTCGAAATTGAAATAGGGAAAAATATGCCATTAATAAGATGGTTGGGTTCAAAACTCTTTTTAATTGCCTTATCACTCAACTGGTCAATATGTTCAGTCCATTTCAGGCCATCATCAATAATTATGCCTAGTAAGTTGATATTTTCACCTCTAGACTTTATTATCTGTTGAAACACGAAGTTTTTGGGTTTTATCTATATTTGATTTGACGCAAACCATATCTCAGCTCTATCCTCAGCTTCACTTATTGCTACTTCCAGGAAATCTATTTCACTGTTTTTTTCTAATAAAGCTGTATCATCAGCAAAGCACGTAACATACTGTAGGAGACAGAAAGTGAAAAATATCATTGGTGTATATTATGAATAATAGTGGTCCCAGGACGGAGCCCTGGGGCACCCCACTATTAATTTGAAGAAAATTTGATAATTTGTTGTTACAAAAATTATTATTCTATTAGACAAATAGGATCTGAAGAAACTATTTGCTGTTCGCCTCACACCATAAAAATCCAACTTCTCTAATAATGTGTCATGATATACACAGTCGAAAGCTTTCGTTAAGTCAACTAGTGTTTAAGGGCCAATTAATTATTCAAATAGTATTTCTTGTTTCTAGTTAATGAATTTTAGTAGTGTATTGAGCCTCAGCTGGGCCTTATAAATAGCATTTTCATTTACTGAAGCCAATGTAAATCTTCGTTTTCATTAATTTATTGATTCATTCTTTCTAGTTGACTATATGTTTTCTATAAATACTTTCAGAATGTTGCACAGCAAATAATGATTAACAATTTGTTAATTGTATCAAAATGCCAATACATTTAATTATTGAATGTCTCTAGAGGTGTTTCTTCACCATTTTGAATTGTGTGGCATACACATAGGTAACTCACTAGCATTTCATTTTAATGTGTCCCATCATTTCACAGAGTTATTAACCCTTCGGGTGTTATTCAATCTTTAGGGGTAGTCTCTGCATGTTCAGAAATCTCTCAGCTAGCCTGGTTTTAGACCAAAGAAAACTCTAAATAACTTTCAACATAAATATTTCAAACCAACATCATTACTTTCAATCTAAGCCAGGAGTTAGACATGTTTCCTGTAGTTTTCATGTCATCGCAACTTCAAATTATGACCTTGACTACCGCGAAATAATAAAAAATACTATTTGGACTGAACTAGCGTTGTTTATATACAGAGTGGGCCTTTGAAAACGAAACAGAGGCTCTGTAGGTCGCCAAAACCGGATTATCAAAAAAAACTGAAACAGGTCAACTACATTTTCGAGGGGGACATCTTTCTAAAATATTTTCAGCCCTGCGGCGTTGCCGCTTCTAAAGAAGAGAAGCAACAACTTTGTTATTTCAAATGGAACACCTTGTATTTTATTGCATTCTTAGATTCTCTCCGAAGAGCTGAATTCATCAATGCATCATACTTGGGGTCTAGCTGTAATGGTTTCAGGGATATAAAGTGTTCAAAATCGAGATTTTTCAACTTTAAAATTTCTTTGTGTCGAAACTATTCATCATTGGTCAAAACGGCTCTTATGTCCCTATCTCAACTTGTGATTTACTATCTACGACATTTATATGAAACAAATACAGGGTGGTTCAAGATTCAGAATTCTGATCACCCTGTATCTGTTCCAATTAAATGTTAGTAGATAGTGAATCACAAGTTGAGATAGGGACATGAGAGTCGTTTCGACCAATAATGATTAGTTTCGACACAAAAAAATGTTAAAGTTGAAAAATCTCGATTTTGAATACTTTATATCCCTGAAACCATTACAGCTAGACCCCAAGTGTGATGCATTGATGAAATCAGATTTTCGGGGAGAATATAAAAATGCAATAAAATACAAGGTGTTCCATTTGAAATAACAAAGTTGTTGCTTCTTTTCTTCAGAAGCGGCAACGCCGCAGGGCTGAAAATATTTTAGAAAGATGTCCCCCTCGAAAATGTAGTTGACCTGTTTCAGTTTTTTTTGATAATCCGGTTTTGGCGACCTACAGAGCCTCTGTTTCGTTTTCAAAGGCCCACTCTGTATATACATAGGGTAGCGAGCAGCTATATCTCATAAGATATTGGTCCTATACATTTGAGAAAAAAAATCATGATAAAAGTCGCTAAGAGAAATTACTGGAAATTATTTACGAGTTTGTCAAACGTCCGCTAGAGGGCGTAACAACCAACACCAAGTAGAAAAATGTGGGATTTTTATAGGATTTTGTCTAATGAAAGTATATCGATGATATCATTTTCATATTTACTGACCATTTCCCTACAATTTTTGTCTGAAACGTTTTGTTCTATCTATCAAAATGAAACGGTGGGGGAAGTTCAATTGTTTTTTTAAACAAATCAAGAATTCTCCCGTTTATTTCGACCGATTTTGGCAAACTTTTTGGCATTTTGGCTCATATGAAAGTGCATAATTTGCCCTAAAAAAGGGCTATTTGGTTTTGGATTCTTGACTTTTGCTGTCGCCGCTAGATGGCGTTAACTGAAATGGTAGCAAATTCCATCTTCAACATTATAAGTTTCTTTTCGGTTGAGTAACGGACTTCTAGATAGCTTATTCGCTTCTTCTCCTAGGACCCGCTTCTCGCGAACCCGCCATGTTGGAGAAGATGATGGACGCCGGCATGAACGTGGCCCGTCTCAACTTCTCCCATGGCTCGCACGAATACCACGCCGAGACCATCAAGAACATCCGCATCGCCGTGGAGAACTACAGCAAGCAGATCGGCATGAACTATCCGTTGGCGATTGCGTTGGATACCAAAGGACCGGAGATCCGAACCGGGCTGCTCGAAGGGGTAAGCGGACTAGAGAAGTGTTTCACAGGTTGTTGATATCAAGATTCTATGTTTTTTTTTTCAGGTCATAGCTTTTTTTTCTATATTGTTTCTTTATAGCTGTTTCAGTGAATATCCCAGTCTCGGTTGTTATTGAAGATAGAGCCTTGCGGTTTTCACGTTCCTGTCCGAGTTCCTGTCCTACTTTTTGTGAAATGTGAAACTCAAGATAGCCTAATGGGGAAGTTTCCTATATTGAGGTTTTCATTTCACTGTGAAGTTTGTAAAAAATTAATATATAGTGTGGCCCACTTCTAATGGAAACACACCTGTGTATTACGTAATCGTTGGGTAAGGATCCTGGAATTTGCCGGAGTGAGAGATATATCAAAAATGCACTCTATGACCAAGTGGGGGTCATCTTCAGTTATATACACTGCTCGCCAACAGCCATAGAACCAGCCCAATCTCTGGAAATGATATTAGGAGTCAAAATAGGTCGAAAATCACTTTTGGAAAATTTTCAGTTCTAAAAAATGGAATTTTGTCGCACTTTTTTACGGAAGCACCCCGTATCTTACGTAATTGACTTCATCTTCGGACTTTCCCTTCCTCCTGCAAATTTCTGAACCCTACATCAAAAATTACGTGAGATAAGGGGGTGCTTCCATGAGAAGTGAAACAAAATTTGATTTTTCTGAATTGAAAATATTCTAGGAAAACTATAAATAGTTAGTGAATTGGGCGTCCTGATTCCGAAACTGAAGTGATTTTCGACCTATTTTGACTCCTAATATCATTTCCAGGAAATTGGGGTGGTTCCATGGCTGTTGACGAGCAGTGTATATCATGGTCATAGAGTGAATTTTTGGTACATCTCTCGCTCCAGCAAATTTCAGGATCATTACCCGATAACGTAAGATACAGGGGTGTTTCCATTAAAAGTGCACACTGTATACGTATCTTTTCATTTTTTTCGTTAGATCAAATTTCACAAAAAAATAAATGAAAGAGGAACTTGGCTTCTCTACCATTTCTATGACTTACTTTCTGAAAATCCACATTCACACAGAGTTAAAATACGATTCCCTGTGCTAGTACGACGTTGCCGACATCATCAATATGTCTAGATTTGTATGAATTTTGAGTTTCACAAAAAAGTAGGACAGGAACATGAAAACCACAATAACAGCAAAGAACCTGGCAGTGTCAACCATAATGGGATACTCTGAGGGGATCACTTTTTGTTTTCTGTTCCTGTTACAGGACAACTTATTACTAATGTTTATTTATGTAATTTGTGCTACTCTATTATTGAGTCTCTGACCTGTTGAGTGGCCTTAACTTGAATAAATAAATGAATACATTTTGAACTAAGGCCAAGTGATTATAAGAATCTGAGGAATCTATCTAGGGAGATACGTCTTCATGGGTCTTCCTTTTTTTGCTACATAAACTTAATTTTTCTGCAACCGACAGAAAAGTCGTCCATTTTGATACCAAAATTAGTTCTTAAATTGACGTTTCTATTTCTGACACAAAAAGGATCTACTGGACGTCATCAAGAATAAACAACATTGTGATGGTTGGTTATTTGGGTTGAGACGCATACCTGATTTGTTTCCGCTTCATCCACGAATCAGTGGATGGAGGGTTATCTGTATGGATGTTGATGATGGCTATCGATTTGAATAATTTTATGATCATTAATTCTCAATTTTAATGATTCGATTTGTTTTATCAAGTTATTTTGGTCACTTATTTGCCGTACAGAAGAATAATTATTATCTTCCTTTGGTATAGTATTCATGTAAAAAATTGTGGATGAACCCCCATTTTCTGATTGACTTTCTAGAATCATTTGAATCGATTGCCATTAGTCTCCATGCAGATACTCCATACACTCCATATTCATTTTCAAATAAACTTATACACCGTGTCCCAGCTAAAATGTTCCCCCCTGTAAAAAATCAACCGCGCGATCGAATGACTTGAAATTTGGTCACCCAGTATATGTGATGATGCTCACTCGAAATATGCTATTGAATGAATCGTAGATATACAGGGTCACATCGAAGTGCACCTCAACTTCCTTATTTTAATAGGAACACCCAGTATATTATTCCATATTCAAGTAGAGTTCATTATTACAAATTCAACAATGCCAAGTTTGATGGGATATTTTCAAACGACTACGAAGATATAGCAAAAAATTTAACGATTCAATAAAAAAATTATATGATTAGATTTTATTGATATAACACGATTATAATCGAATGATAATAAGTGTCCTGCACATAAATACAGACCCGTAAAGAATTATCTTCGCCATCGGTTTGAAGAAAATCTAATAACCACCAATTGTCTCGATGGTGATAGCAACTGATCAGCTCGGTCGCCAGACCTCAACCAACTTGATATTCATTTGTGGGGCTACTCGAAAGAACAGGTTCATGAGTCGCCAATTGTGAATATGGAAGGAATGAAAGAGAAAATCACAAATTCATGCGCACAAATTGATCGAAAAGTGATACATAGGGTCACAATGAACGTTATCAAAAGGGCTAGGAAATGTTCGCAGCAGAATGGACGATATATTGAGCAGTTCAGGTTTCAATTATTTTTTTTTTTCATTCGATTTCAATCGTGTTATATTAATAAAATCTAATCATATAATTGTTTTATTGAATTGTTCTATTTTCCGCTATATCTTCGTAGTCGTTTGAAAAAATCCCATCAAACTTGGCATTGTTGAATTTGTGATAATGAACTCTATTCGAATATGGAATAATATACTGGGTGTCCCTATTCAAATAGGAAAGTTTAGGTGCACTTCGGTGTGACCCTGTTTACTTACGATTTATTCAATAGCATATTTCGAGTGAGCATCATCAAATATACTGGGTGAACAAATTTCAAGTCATTCGATCGCGCGGTTGATTTCTTACAAAGGGGGACATTTTAGCTGGGACACGGTGTATGTTCGTCTTTTCCTAAAATGTATCGTTTTTTTAAAAAATGTGTGAAAATGTGAGAGAAATTTCGGATATTTCATATCTGATGTTTTTTGTGACCTTTGAATTTTCCCTGTCACAGTTTACAAAAACCATATACAGGATGAACTTTTCGATATAACTTGAACCAGCAAATTTTTTTCAAGAACGGTCCTGGATTTTCCTAATTCTAAATAAATCAGTCGATCAGAGAGTAGTAGCAGGATATCACATGCGAAATTCAGACAAATTGAAGAAGCTGTTGGAAAGTTATGATTTTGACCGAAATACGTTTTTGCCAAATCCCATAATTCGCATTTTTTTATGTTCATAATTCATCTGAGAATATTCCTTTTCAACACTCTCATAATTCACCCTATATATTAGTGAAGAAGAGGAGCAGACACTTTCTGATGGTCATTAGGTATTTCCCTCAGGTGCCTCTATTCGTGGTTGGAGTATGTACAGTTCCTCATGACTCACCCTGTATAAGTTGGACCAGTGTAAAACTCAACATGTGGATTTGAATACTTGTAGTGCGAGCACCACATGACTTATTTTCAAACCCAATCCAAACCCCATAAAATATGTTTATTGTATCCCAGGGCGGCTCAGCTGAAGTTGAACTGAAAAAAGGCGATAAAATCAAGCTGACGACAGACAAAGCTTACGAATCCAAGGGCACCAAAGATTGCATCTACGTTGATTACGAAAATATTCAAAAAGTCGTCAAACCTGGCAACCGCATCTACGTCGATGATGGATTGATTTCTCTCATCGTGGAAAATATCCAAGGATCATTCTTGACTTGTATCATTGAAAATGGTGGTACCCTTGGAAGCAGAAAAGGTATTTTGATAAGCATTTTGAACAAATTGGGTTTTTCCACCACTAGCAATACTTATGCCAATGAACACAGTTGGCTAACGCCATGTTATTAACAGATTAGGGTACAACTCCCTGAACAAACGCGATTCCCGCAGTTTTTTGCAAAAAATACTCATCGAATAACAGGAATCTCTCTTAAAAATTGCCATAACTTCAATTGTTCATATGAAGAGTTGGTCTGACAAAATAGTTGAAGAGTAGGCTTACTAGCAGTTATAACCATCTCACATAAACACAATAGCTAATAGCCAAAGGCTCAATCAATGCCAAACTAACAGGTCTTCAACAATGATTGAAAACCACGTGACAGAATTTGTTTTTCTTGGATTCTGGTCCTGTCACCAGCTACACCTCAGCCTCCTGAGCTTTTTGTGCATTCCAGTTTATTTTACAGCACCCATTCCTGCACCAGTCTGTACAGGTTCTTCATCGGTTGGCTGTTGTATTCTTCGGAAATCAGCCTAGGCTGCCCGAATATTTCTTGTCTTTTGCGATCCAATGCCTCGCATTCTATTAATAAGTGTTTGGCCGTTTCTGTCCCTTAACCGCATTAATAATAATAATAATAATAATAATATATGCTTTATTGTCTGAATAAGAATCTTGTTGACAAAGCTAGGTCAGATAATATTGTGAAAAAAAGGTTAATGTATAACGACATAAAAATACGTGACAATATAGGTAAAACAAATACCACATTGAAATACTAAAATATCACAACTCAAACGTATCACTATAATATTCCTGCAAACTGTAATAGGGTCTATCAGAGAGGAACTTTTTGACTTTCTTCCTGAATTGACAATCATTCAGACTTGCTGACCTCATATCAACTGGCAAGTGGTTGTACATTTTTCCACCATTATAGTATATGGAATTTTTAATAAACTCTCTTGTGGGTAGAGGAAGTTTCAAACTGAAATTTCTGTTGCGCGTGTTATGATGGATGGGAGTTGTAGTGAATTTTAACTTGTGCTTATTCATCAGGCAAACAGATTCCAGAATGAATAGTGCAATCACTGTCAATATTTCATTATTGGAAAATAAAATTCTGCAAGAATCTCGAGGTTTGACATTACATAAATACCTAATCGTTCGTTTCTGTAGAATTAACAGAGTTTTTAAAGACGTTGGGCTGCACACTCCCCAAAAAGGTATTCCATATCGTAATTGGGAATCTATTAGTGAATAATATACCATCGTGGCAGTAAAGAATCCTTATTCCCTAGAAATCACTCTCATTGCATAACATCCAGAAGAAATCTTACCAGTGAGTAGCTTGACGTGGTTTCCAAATTTCAGAATCTAGTCGATGAACAATCCCAGAAATTTAGTATCATTTCTACATTGTCTGCAGAGAAGTTCTCCATTGTACAGTCCCATTTTATTCAGGTGTCCTCTCGTTGGACTGTGACCAGTGAGAAGTCCCGTTATTGTTCTGACTTGGTTCCTACTCATATCGAGTAGTTCTTCCGATTTATTTTTCGACGGTTCTTTAATGAATACTTTCCCGTGGTGCATGTGAGGGGCTTTAGCTCATCGCTCCTTATGTTTTTGCTTGATCCAGTCCCGTATGTAGCCTCGGGTAGATTTTTTTGTAACCCCGAGTACGGGTTCTGGGTCAAAGTATGGAGTTGAGCCGGCTCTTGCCAGTCCATACGATGCCGCAATGTCCTGGAACCCATAACAGGGTAGTTTTGTTATGTTCGGACAGGGCATTGGGTTCTTCTGTCACTTTCGGGTTCGTGAGAGCTTTCAGTGACGCCTGGCTGTCGGTGCATATTTTGACCCGTGCATTGCGCACTTCCTCTTGTTTGTTCTTACCCATTGCAAGATTGCGTACAATTTCTCTTGTAATACGGAAGTGTTTATTCCCAGTGAGAAGCTCATTTGGGAGTTTGAGACGTGACAGAATACTATACAACCAAGTTTACATTCGTCACACTCAATCATTGTTGAAGACCCGATTTAAGATTAAAATAATATCCCAAAAAAAAATTAAATCATGATGTTACTGTGAATGATCTTATTGAAATAGGATGTCTGGTGATTTAGTGAAAAAAGATTTTTATTTTTTCAACGGCGTCTGATATACTGAGACTTTTGTTTATTTTTAAAAATGTAATTAGGTTATTCTCTTTCACTACCTACTTTTATCTAAATTTTTATAATAGATTCCAGCATTGCAATTGATTTGTGCAATAAAATTATCATAATCTAATATACTATTAACTGTACTACAATTCCTAATGAGTATACTATGTTTTTTGTAGTTTTACATAGTATCAAAGCAAATACTAGTTATTGCTAGTTGTGGAAGAGTTTCTATAAACGCCCTGGTCGTATGAATATTCTTATTCGGAATATTATCTTGGATTATGATGATACTCTTCACTATCATGGTGTATGAATACTTAATCCAAATGTACAGGGTAAACAACTAAGAACGGCCGCCGGCCATATCTCAGCAATGAATAAATAATGATAAAACTTTGAAAAACAAAAAATCAGGAAAAGTGACCCTAAAAAATAGCTGGAAAATATTTTTAGGTTTCCAAAATAACCGCTAGGTGGCGTAACGCCTCTGAGTAAAGAGGAAATTGAAATTTTCTCCGCATTTAGTAGTAACAAGGTGTATTGAAAATATATGCAGTTTGATCCTTGATAATTTCCTTGTTTTTTGTTTCACACTTTTTGTCGTGTCTCAAAATAAAGTGTTGGGGAGCATCAAATTATGTTTTTTGTAAACGCCTGTAACTCTGGTTATCTTCAACAGAAATCAACAATCTTGGGCCTTTTTTTTTAATTGACCTGGCCGTTACTTGATTGAAATCCATTGCAAATGTAAAAACTTTACAAACGATAAGATTTCCACAAAATTTGTTTTCTTAATAGGTAATAATATTTATTTGCTATCAACCCTTTCAAGTTAATCCGGTACACCTCATTTTGATGTAGATATTGTACCTAATTTCCGAAAATGAAGGTTTATCGAACCTGTCCACAAGTAACTAATCCTTCAAGTTGGGAAAGTACGATATATAAAAGTTATGCAAGCCAACGTTGGTTCAGTTCATTGTACCAGTATATCATCTGACGAAGCTAGTGTGTTAGCGAAACATGTTGTGTGTTTAAGAATTTTGTGGAAATCTTTTCGTTTGTGAAGTTTTCACAATCTTGGGCTTGTTGTAGAGGCCTTTTCCTGTTCTATCAAATGCATTTGAATTGGTTGCCGTTGCCGCTAGAGGGCGTGATCTAGAGTATCAATGGATATCGTGATTTAAAAAACAATTAAAAGTTATGGTAAGCATATTATTTACATGATGAAATAGAGAAACTAAATCTCAAGACCAACGAAAACCGCAACATGATAGCTTTTCGCTAACGGAAGATCGCGGAAGATATTAACAATCAAAGTTGGAAGTATGATTGATGACAGTCGTTCTTAGTTGTTCACCCTGTACACACTGAATCAGATTTTGCATTATATAATTTTTTAGGTTGCAATCTTCCTGGTGTAGCTGTTGATTTGCCAGCTGTATCAGAAAAAGATAAATCAGATTTGAAATTTGGAGTCGAACAGGATGTCGATATAATTTTTGCATCGTTTATTCGAAATGGTGCTGCCTTGACAGAAATCAGAAACATCCTGGGAGAGGAAGGAAAGAAAATTCTAGTCATTTCAAAAATTGAAAATCAACAAGGTAAAGAGCGTCCGTCGACCTATTCCCATTCTTTTATTTTCAATTTTAATATCTTGAACCGAACATTTCATGGTGAAGTAACTGTTTTTGTCGCGATAAATTATAAAAACTAAGTACCTGATCAACACCGCCCGACAAAAGCGAAGTTTTTGATTCAATTTTGGAAATGAAAACAAATGCATATGTTCATATTCCGAAAATCTGTTGATACTTTCTGAAAAAATACCATGTTATGTTATTACTATATTTCAGAGAAAATCAAATAGGTCTTCTCCATCTTTCCTTGTCTTCAGGTTTCAACATAAAATAATGAAAATTTTATGCTGGCAACAATGGAAATAAGAAGAAATGGAGAAGAAGACCATTATAACCTTTTTTATATTGAGGTTGATATGATCTTCTTCTCCATTTTTTCCCATTTCCAATGTAACCAACATAAATTTTCCATTCTTTCACGTCGGAACACTGAACACAAGGACAGATGGGGAACACATTTTTTTCTCTCTCAACGCTAGCTGAACTGTGTTCTATTCTAATACAGGCAAATGGTAGTTTTACCTTCCAAAAAATCCAGAAGTTGGTTTTATTATCCTTCCCTATGTTTTTCGAGGTGCTGAATCCGAATGTGAAATTATTCAGATTTCCTTGGGCAATTTGTAATATTCTTAAAAACAAGGGAAATTTTCGCAATTATTTGTTTTTTTGCTTATAATTTCAAAAAGTAAGTATGCATGATTAGGCCAGCGTAGCCTCCTGGTTAAAGCGTCAATGTTCTATCCACGTTTGATTGCTGGTTGGTGGGTTCGATTTCCACCACGACCGCAGACATTTTTCTGATGACCTAAGAAAGTGTTTGGGATCACACGTTAAAAGGTAAGACCCCCGTCATTCCTTGCTCGCACAAGTCTCTTGAAGACTTCTGAGGGTTGCTCGTAAGGGGGCAACCAAATGATGGATAAGAATAATTTTAGAACAACAACAATGAAAGTAAAAAAACAACCGCTACGTTTTTCACAATCATAAATCAATTACCTTTCAATTCCATATTTTTTCGATTTTAAGCTGCTTAAATCATCAATATTGCCACGAAACGGTTTTAAATTTGCCGCTGACCTCTCTATAAATGATTGTAACATCGTAGTGGCTGTTGACATTTTTTTCCATTTGCCGCTCTCTACAAATGCTGTTAACAACATTTAACGACCAAAAAGAGAGGAAGTGATCATATACAGGATCTTTTTTATATCGTTTTGCATACACTATGGAAATGTATCTCAAAGAAGGGAGAGTCCAATAATGGAATTTGAAAAATAATGGAACAAATCAAAAATATTTATTGAAGAAGTAATAAATAACGGTTCATTTCATTAACCTACATCAAATGTTCAAAATGTTCTCCGTTATTCTCCAAGCATTTCAAAACTCTTCGCCGTTTGTTGTCGAAAATGTTCATCAGCATTTCCGGGCCAATATTTTGGCAGCAATGTGTTATTGAGGCTTGCAGCTCTTCAAGGTTATCATTTTCTCTCTTGAATACTTCGTCTGTCAAATATCCAAAAAGGCAGAAATCCAAAGGCGTCAAATCTGGAGAACGTTTTGGAAAAGAAGGATTAACTCCTCGACTTATCACACGGTTGTCATAAAATTCTTGTAAATATTCACACACGTGTGGTGTGGGCAGTGGCCCCATCTTCCTGAAAATAGCCAACTCGAATATCTTCATCATCAAGTTGATTGATGGATGGTTCTAACATCACTTGTCACCTTTCACCATTGATAGTGCCATCGAAGAAAATCGGTCCATATATTCGTCTACGAGAAACTGCTAACTCAGATCTCAGATCTCCAAAACCTAAAATTTTGTGAGTTCACGTATCCCGAAAAATGTAACCAAGCCTCATCGCTGAAAAATGTTAGGTCCAATAGCTGGTCATCGATGAGATTATTTTGGAACCATTTGCAGTACTCCAGACGACGTGGGATATCTATTGGCAAAAGTTGCTTTAGTACACTAGTCTTGTAAGGGTGCATATGCAATCTCTTCTTGAACACTTTATGGCATGTACTTAATGGCACACCAGATTGTAACGATAATCTCTTCAATGAAGTTTGGAGATTTTGCTCAACACGCGCCCTTAGACAATCACGAAGTAGAAAACAGAATTGTTTGAAAATTTTAACGAAAAACTGACAATTGTGAGTTTATCAGCTATGACAGTATAATGATTGATGTCAGAAATTGAATTCGAATGTGTGAATCTCCATAAATGAAAGGCGGCAAATGGAGAAAATATTTCAATGGCTACTACGATGCTACGATCATTTATAGAAACCCTGTACCATAGCACAGTTCCTATATGTTGAAATATGAATGGGAACTTCAGAAATATTAGTCATTCAATGATTCATAAATTCTCAATTATGTATTAGTAATATCCTGAATTACCTATAAAAAATACATTGTCTCAAAATTTCCCCTCTTGTATGTTATGTCTTATTGGTTATGATGAATTTGTGTTGATAATAATTATATTAATTTACACTAGAGGACAGTTGGTCCGGTAAACGTGACAAAACAGGATTGTGGGCGATGTCTTGTCAGTTCTCAGCATTCAGCACAGCAATGCCAAGTCTCTAGCCAATATTCACATGATGATTTATTATGGAGTATAAGAAATATTTGAACAAGCTGGTTGTTCAAAAGAGTTAAAAATTAATACTAATAATAATATCATGGCTTCCTTCTATTAGATCAAATGAAATATTTCATTTGGATTTAGTTAAGTTCAACGGCAGGACTCTCAAAAATTTGATTATAGTTATCTGACCAATAATGAAACAGCATAAGAACTGTCGCAATTATCCGACGAATCCCATAACATGTTCAAATGGCGGGCATTACGACACGTTTGAAATGAGCTTTGCATAGACACATTATTGATTGATTGATTGATTGATTGTCTTTATTACCCCAAGAAACATAGTTGTTTATAATTGGGATACATAAACAATATACATAATGTTATACATACAATTATGAAATTATAATAAGATATAACAAAGTAAAAAAAATGCAAATAATCATGCAATATCAACCTAGTCTTTTATAAGTAGGTATTCAAATAAGAAATGGAATTATCAAAGTCTCTGAAGCAGATATTTTTTTAAGTTAATTATGAATCTAGTTGCTTCCTGTATATTCCTCAATTGACTTGGTAATGAGTTGTATAGAACGATTCCTGTGTGAAAAATTGATTGTCTTGTTCCATGATTATGTAATGAATTAATTTCATTGAAATTTAAATTCGAAATTTTCAATTTATATAGGACAAATTGAATAAAACAACATATTTTAAGTTTATATAGTGATGTCAGATCTAATAAATCTCTGGGTTTGTATAAATTCATGGTTGGTTCGAGAAAATTTAAATTGAAAATACACTTCAATGTTTTATTTTGTAATTTCATTAGTGGACTCAAACGTGAAATATCGGTACTTCCCCATATAGATATTAGGTATTGAAATTTTGAGTAAATAAGAGAGAAATAAATACTCTTCAAGTATCTGGTAGAAATGAAATTTCGTATTTTGAATAAATTGCCTGTAATACGATTAAGTTTGTTCCTCAAATGATCTATATGTTTATTCCACAATAGTCGTTCATCAATATGAAGACCTAAAAATTTTGTAACATCTGTATATTTGATGAGTTTATTGTTGAATGATAGTGTTCTATTTGAAATGTTCAATGTTCTTTTTGCTATGTACATATATGAGGATTTGTTATAACTGAGAGATAGTTTATGAACTTGTAACCAAGAGGATATTTTCTCTAAATCACTTTTCATGTCCATGATAATATTATTTGAATCTTTAGAGAAATAAATCAATGTCGTGTCATCTGCAAATAATTTAAGTTTTCCTCTCAATTCCAAGTTTAATATTGAATTTATGTAGATCAAAAATAAAACTGGTCCCAAGACTGACCCTTGCGGTACACCGCATGAGATGTTCATTAAAGAGCTACAAGTACCACTCACATCAAAAACACATGAAAATTCAATCTACACAGATTTGTTACAACTTCAATGCTGACAATGTTCCTCGTAGGATCAGTATTGTCCTCCAATATTGGATTCAAAATTTGACCCAAAACATGAAACATCACTTTTGAAAAAATGTACCAACATTTGGAGTAGTGTATCTCGGCCCTGTTAGACTTACAGTGTTGCAGTGGAATTCTCGGTGGAATTTAATAGGTATGATTTGTTTTTTGCTACCAAACATACTTTGAAATCATAAGCAAAAACCAACAAATGGGTAAAATTTCCCTGTTTTTTGCGAATTCTTAAAAACACTAAGAAATTTTGTTGGCGTCTGAAAAAGACATAGGGTTGGGTACAATAATAAAACCGAATACTGGATCTCTTGCAAGGAGAGGGCTTCATTTTTTTCTTGTTACCGTTTTCCTCGGTTATTCATTGTTCTTGTGAATGTTTTTCCAGGTATGACCAACCTCGACGAGATCATCGAAGCCTCCGACGGCATAATGGCGGCCAGAGGCGACCTCGGCATCGAGATACCCACCGAAAAAGTCTTCTTGGCCCAAAAGGCCATGATCGCTCGGTGCAACAAAGCAGGCAAGCCTGTCATCTGCGCCACGCAAATGTTGGAATCGATGGTGAAGAAGCCGAGACCGACGCGCGCCGAAAGCTCCGACGTCGCCAACGCCGTCTTGGACGGCGCCGATTGCGTCATGCTGTCGGGAGAGACGGCCAAGGGTGATTATCCGATCGAGTGCGTGTCGACGATGGCGAGCATATGCAAGGAGGCGGAGGCGGCGATCTGGCAGAAGGAGTTGTTCAACGATTTGACGACCGAGGTGGGTTTTTCTGAACGAATTATGGAAAATTGTTTTTTTTTCTCCATTTCTTGACCCCCTTGGAAAAAAATTGGTACGCCACTGGAGTCGAGGTTTCTCGACGAATTTCCGAAAATCTGATTTTTTATTTTTTGATCCCCTTGGAAAAAATTGGACGCCACTGTAGTCGAGATTATCGTGAAATTAGTTTTTTGGTCCCCTTGGAAATAAATTGGTACGCCACTGTAGTCTAGTTTTTTTTTTAAGAATTTCCGAAAATCAATTTTTTAATTTTTCGACCCTCTTGGGGAAAAAGTGCACGCCCCTGGAGTCGAGTTTTTCAGACCAATTTCTGAAAACCTGATTCTTTTATGTTTTGACCTCTTGGAAAAAATTGGTACGCCCCTGGAGACGGAAGTTTTTAGACGAATTTCCGAAAATCTGATATCCAAATGTTTTGACCCCCTTGGAAAAAATTGGTACGCCACTACCAAAAATCTGATTCCTTCAATTAAATAGGTACGCCCCTAGGCCAAGTTTTTAGACAAATTTCCGAAAATCTGATATTTGAATTTTTTTACCCCCTTTGACAAAAATTGGTGCGCCACTTCCAAAAATCAGATTCTCTTCTTTTTTGATCTCTTCGAATTTCGAAAAAATTGGTATGCTCCTGGAGTCGATGTTCTTCGAAAATACAATATTTTATTTTGTCCCCTTGAGACAAACACAGTGGTATTCCACGAATTCCCAAAAATCTGGTTTCTTTTGTATTGACCCCCTTGGGAAAGAATGGTACGCCACTGGAGTGGACATCGCGGTACCCACCTAAAAAGTGTTTGCCGAGTGCGTGTCGACGATGGCGAGCATATGCAAGGAGGCGGAGGCGGCGATCTGGCAGAAGGAGTTGTTCAACGATTTGATCACCGAGGTGGGTTTTTCTGAACGAATTATGGAAAATTGGATTTTTTTTATTTTCTGACCCCCTTGGAAAAAAGTTGGTACGCCACTGGAGTCGAGGTTTTCTGACGAATTTCCGAAAATCAGATTTTTTTTATTCTTTTACCCCCTTGGAAAAAAATTGGTACGCCACTGTAGTCGAGGGTTTTTTGACGAATTTCTGAAAATCAATATTTTTACTTTTCGACCCTCTTGGGGAAAAAGGTGTACACCACTGGTTCAAGTTTTTCAGACGAATCTCTGAAAACCTAATATGTTTATTTTTTGACCTCTTCGAAAAAAATTGGTACGCCCGTGGAGTCTGAAGTTTTTAGACGAATTCCCGAAAATCTGATATTGAAATGTTTGTTTCCCTGGAAAAAAATTGGTACGCCACTTCTGAAAATCTGATTCTTTCATTTTTTGACCCCTTCAAAAAAATAGGTACACCGCTAGGCCAAGGTTCTTGGACGAATTTCGGAAAATCTGATATTTGATTTTGTTGACTCTTGGAAAAAAGTTGGTACGCCCTAGGTCGAGGTTTACGAGGAATTTCCGAAAATCAGATGTTTCTATTTTTCCACCCGCTTCAAAAACAAATGGGTACGCCATTGAGGCCGTGGTTCTTCGAAAAAATAATGAAAATCGCATATTTTATTTTTTGTACCATTTGGAGAAAGTGTATTTCCAAAAATCAATTTTTATTTTTTGACTTGACATTGGAAAAAAAATGTGTGCGTCCCTGGAGTCGGAATTTTCACCGGAAATTTGATTCTTTTATTTTTTGACACATTGGAAAAAACTTTCAGCATTGTTGTCCGGCCTAGATCTAAACCCAAAAATCTATATATTTAAAAAACTGACGAAAGATAACTTCAATAAAGTATACAGTGTGTCCATTTAGTGCGTAATTCTTCGATATCTCGAAATCGATTATCACAAGAGAAGCTGCTCATTCCAAAAATATTTCCAACAATACTGGGTGTTTTATAGAAGCGGGGCAACTCGAAGAATAGTTTTTTTAAATGGAACACCCAGTATTGTTCATTTGAAATTTATTCCGCTAAGGTTCAGCTCTACATCGCTGTAAAAAAAATAGAATTTGGTTACGGCGTTGCCAAGTTATAATTGATAAACCCAATTTTACTACTATTGAAGGGTTATTTTCAATTGGGTATGGTATATTTATTTATTGAAATTTCGAAAATATTTTTGGCATAAAGTAGAAGCAAGGTCTCACGTATACAAATCCAGTAATCTTGCGAGATATTTCTTCACAGGGTTCCAAAATTTACATTCTGAATATTGTAAGATTCAGACGACGATCATAAGAATTTTTCAAATGAAACACCCTGTATTCCTCATCACAGATTTATTTCGACATCATTCGCCTTTCCATCGCTGAAAAAAAAATCAAAATCGGTTGCGAGCGTTTCCAAGTTATGAGTAATTTCCTTATTTTTACTACTATTTCTGGGTAATTTGTACGTCATGATGGTTCCTTCATTTGATTTGAGTGTGGGAATATTGCTTGCCACATGACATTCGAAGTTCTACATAGATCATTCAGGTATTTTTGCGATATGTGCATCGTCCAAATTTGAAATATTCCGTAATCTTGTTAATTATGATTCAAATAATATGTGAAACAAACAAACATGCCAAAAGCAACGCCTGTCTTTAAAACAACTTGTACAATACAAACAATAAAGAAGCGGATTGCGAAAATTAGTAAAATTGTTCGAAATTTGGGACATATTCATTGTCGTTATTCCCACAATCCAAATCTCCATTTGACTTGAAGGAGGTAAACATAATGATTCAAACAATATGTCTCTACTAGACGCGGCTTTTGGGAGGGAATTCAGCAAAATTTCGAATCAATCCAAGATATATCTGATTGTGGCGATGTTTCACAGGTCATTACACAAATATAAGTGTATTTCGAAAAAAATTCAAACTTGGCGAGCCTGTTTATGTTCCTATTGTGAAAAAATATATGAATGGTCAATGAACAAATTTGATTATACCGTAGCAACGCAATATTTCCACAATACAAATAAATAAAAGAACTATGACGTAGGTACAAATTACCCTGAAATAGTAGTGAAAATAAGGAAATTATCCATAACTTGACAACGCCGCATCCGATTTCGATTTTTTTTTCAGCGATAAAAAGGCGAAAAATGTCGGAATGGAGTTTGGAATTGAAATACAGGGTGTTCCATTTGAAAAATTCTGATGAATGTCATCTGAATCTTGCAAACTTTTGAATGCAAAATTGAGCACCCTGTTGAAGAACATATCACAAAATTACTGGATTGGTATACGTGGGACCTTGCTCCTGCCGTATGCCAAAAATATTTTCAAAATTTGAATAAATGAATATACCATGCCCACTTCAACATGACTCTTCAATAATGGTAAAAACAGATTCATGAATTATAACTTGGCAACGCCGCAACCGATTTAAATTTTTTTTACAGCGATGTGAAGGTGAACCTTGGCGGAATTCATTCCGAATAAACAATACTGGGTGTTCCATTTAAAAAAAACTCTTCTTCGAGTTGCCCCGCATTTATAAAACATCCAGTAATGTTGAAAATATTTTTGAAATAAGCAACTTCAGTAACTGAAGAAGTTCTTCCTTCAAAGTTTTTCTCTAAAGGTTATGGCTTTCGAGATATCGAAGAATTACGCACTAAATGGACACACTGTATATATATATTTGAAATCAGAAGAAGAGTACTACCAATTAGAAAAATAAAATACAAGGTCTTCCATTCAAAAAATATCAGTTAATGTAGAATTTTTAAGTTCACCATGTTTTATACATTTTCTAGTAATAGATTTTGAATGATCATGAAAAATACTTCATTTCTGTACATTTGAACGTTCCTGTAACACAAACTGAGATAGGTATTGAGTAAAATATAAACAATCACCGTGACACATCAATCAAAACTGTTGACGCGAAATCGACGGAAATCTCAATGTTCATCGTTGTTGCAGGTCGTCCCTCCTCTGGACATCGCCCAAACGGTCGCCATATCGGCGGTGGAGGCCTCTTCGAAGAGCCTGGCGGCCGCCATCATCGTCATCACCACCTCCGGCAAGTCCGCCCATCTGGTCTCCAAGTACAAGCCCAAGTGCCCCATCATCGCGGTAACTCGTAACATCCGCACCGCCAGACAAGCCCATCTCTACAGGGGCATTCTGCCGTTGTACTATGACTGTAAGTAGGTTTTTCTAAGTGAATATTGATAGCGTTCTCCCCTAGTTGAACCGGTGTCTGAAAATTATTTGCACTGGCTCGCAATTTTGTTCGATATGCGCTCAGAGTTCGGATTTTCGGAACCGTGCTTGGGAAATGAGGATTAGAGAAAATGAAGATGAAATAAATTGTTATCACAGAATTATCATCTTCGACGGTAGTTTTAGGCGTAGTATTAGCAATAACAATCTCGCAACGTTGTTTTTACGACGAACAGTCGTCCTCATTATATAATGTATTATATTTATGTTGGGCATCAACAACCCCCCCCCCCAAGACATTTTCTGAACCTGATTTCGTTATATAAACTTGAAATATGTTGCTTTATTCATTTTGCCAGGAATAAGTTGAAAATATCAAATTTAGCTTTCAATGAAGTCAATACAGTCCATAATTATGGGACTAGACAATTGAATTACTTGATAGCAAATACATTCAAGTCAAACATTGGCAAACAATCTGTTTTTCACAATGGAATAATTTTATACAATTCATTACCGAATGAGTTGAAAAATATACATGATTCAAGAAGGTTTGAAATCAATCTTAAAAAATACTTGCTCAGGACAATTTGAAAGAAAAATATGTGGCATGATTTGATTACTTAGGAATGAAATTTAACTTTAATCTTATAAGACACAATATTAATTCGTTTCCACTGAGTGGAATTCATTATAGTTAACCCTTTATTATTATTTTTTTATATGTATTTATGTATCCCTATTATAAACAGAAATGTTTCTTGGGGTAATAAAGACAATCAATCAATCAATCAAAACCATAACAAATTATACTGCTCATAGTAGCACTTAACAACTTCAATATTTCGCTACAAGCACTAATTACAAATAAACAATGAACTAAAATGAACTGAACATCTCGTGGAAACAATACAAAAGTAGTATGACAACGTACATAATCAACGTCTGAATCAAATTTACACAATTCGCGCTAGAGTTTTTGAAAGCTGTCAAAACGGTCTGTTTACTTTGTTTTCATTGGTTTACATTTAATTCCATTATGTGCTTATTGGTCACATCCAATAAAACAAACCGCTCAGAAGTGGTCAAGTTGTCACTGTCAGATAGACCGACATGCTATTTTCTAGCGCGTATATCTCAGACCCATGTTATTATGGATCATTGAACTCGTCTTTCTGAGTTCTATGCAAATATGGAATGAAATATAGGGTGTTCCATTTGAAAATCTCGAGATAATTATTGGTTTTCAAAATACGTCATCACTTTTGGCAAATTCAAAATTCCTAAATTTTCACCATAGAACAAAATAATATACAGACTTTGTTAATTTATAGCAAAAGTTGCGAATCGAAAACTTCATTCACAACGTTTCTGTAGGGCTTTGAAATTAGACAATTTATTGAAGAAGATCGTGTGTAAATCCGAAACGGGTGATCTCAGACCCATGTTATGATATATCATTGAACTCGTCTTCCTGAGCTCTATGTAAATTTGGAATGGAATATAGGGTGTTCCATTTGAAAATCTCGAGATTATTGGTTTTCAAAATACGTCATCACTTTTGGCAAATTGAAAATTCCTAAATTTTCACCATAGAACAGAATAATATACAGACTTTGTCAATTTATAGCGGGAACTGCGAATCGGAAACTTCATTCGCAACGTTTCTATAGGGCTTCGAAATTTGGCAATTTATTGAAGAAGATCGTGTATAAAACTGAAACGGGTGATCTCAGACCCATGTTATTATATATCATTGAACTCGTCTTCTGAAGTACTATCTAAAAATATGATAAAATATAGGGTATTCTATTTGAGAAAACGTATGTGTGATAAGTCACAGACATATGGACCATCCTGTATAAATGAAAGTATCTAAAAAATAAATTTCATAAGAAGTAATACAACTTTTATTCTGAAGTTTTTTCTGTATATATGATAGTTTACCAGATAAAGGGATGGCCCATGTTATGTGGGATACCCTGTACTATGCATGTAAGTATGATTTTCTAATTGAATATTGATAGCGTACTCTCCTCGTTGAACCGGTGTATCACAGAATTACCATCTTCGACGAAAGTATTAGCTGTAGTATTAGCAACAACAATCTGGAGACATTCAATATATCAGTTTTTCTTTTTGAAATATACAAATACGTAGATTTGTCATAGTTAACAGTCAGCTTATAAAGTAGCCAAGATGATATCATTTTCAAGTCATTTTTTTATATCATCAACTATATCATTGAATTCTTTAGAGGAATGGATTATAGTAGTATCATCTGCAAATAACTTTTGATCTCCTTTTAGTTTCAAAGATGATATTGAATTGATGTAAATTAAGAATTCTACCAGTCCATAATACATGAGTTTTATAACTTCTGTATTATTGTTATTTTCTATTGCGAATAAGATGCTACAGTATCGTGCTTCCAGAGACAGCACACTCCCATCATCGTGATATTTTCTTGCAGGCGAGCGCGCCAGTGACTGGCTCAAGGACATCGACTCCAGAGTGAACACCGGCATCAAGTTCGGCAAGTCGAAGGGCTTCATCAAGACCGGCGATCCCGTCGTGGTGATCACCGGCTGGAAACAGGGCTCCGGCTTCACCAACACCATGCGCATCGTGTACGTATCCGATCAGGTGCAGAGCATTTGCATGGCGCCTTGCAACGACTAATTCGTTTTTTGTTGTTGGTAACATGTGGTCAATAGATATGTTGATATTTGATGCTTTCGTTTTGTCTTTTGTGGGCTCATGATCTAATTTACTATCTAGAGTCTAGATCTCAGACTTGATAACAATAGACACCGCGATGCATTCATGAATCATTGAAAAATATACGCCAATCCTAAACGCCAAACACGGATAAGGGAATGAAATCGCGAATGGTGGGGATAACGATTCTTACGATTTGTCTTTCGTGCAGTGGAGCGGAAGAAAGGGGTTTTTGAGAATGTCTAGGAATTTGTAATCAATGTTGGTTGAAGCTTGCGTGAGTTGTAGCCATGGAACGGCTATCTCACCATTTCACCTGTCAAACTTACATGTTTGATTCAATAAGGACAGCAATATATCGTTAGAACCACTGACATCAACCGTGTGCGACTATTGGCCAACTGTGGGTAATAACAGACACAGAAGTTGGTTCACTATTTGTTCTAGATATTTTTTAACATTCAGGTGAATAAGAGTTGGTTTTTGTTCATCTGCGGAGGATTTTACTTGCTAGAGAGGAAGAACGACGCAAATGGCTACACTGCTTTTGTGGTTCGTCTCTCACACGCATGACGTCACGTGAACAACTATTCAATTTTTTTCAGATCGGGATGCGCTTCAAAGTGAATAAGTTCCTTCCAAACGTAATATAACCTTCTGGCTTCACCAACACCATGCGCATCGTATACGTATCCAATCAGGTGCAGAAAGTTTGCATTGCGCCTCGCAACGAATAATACGTGTAACTGGTCGTTTTTGTTGTTGGTAAAACGTGTGGTCAATAGATTTGTTGATATTTGATGCTTTCGTTTTGTCTTGTGGATGGTGTTAACTGTACAAATAACAATAGATGGACACCGCGATTCATTTATGAATCATTAAAACATTTACGCCAACAATGCTTAACGCCAAACACGGATAATCGAATGAAATCGCGAATCGTGGGGATATCTCTGGAATCATGCGCATCCTGTACGTATCCGATCAGGTGCAGAGTATTCGCATGGCGCCTTGCAACGAATAATATGGATGGCTGGCCGTTTTTTGTTGTTGGTAACGTGTGGTCAATAGATTTGTTGATATTTGATGAGTTCGTTTTGTCTTATGTGGGTGGAGTTCGTCTCGCACAAGCATGACGTCAGGCGAAGAGTGCTTTTCTGTTCAGGACGTGTTTCAAAGTGGGAAAGTTTATTTTGGTGAAGGGAAACACAGTGGGCTGACGCCATGGTATTGACAGACTAGGGTATATACAACTGACTGAACAAATACGGCCTTCACAGTTTTCATCGAAATACCTACTTAGATATTGTAACAATTATTCAGTCTGAATTGTTTGGAAACAACCCCAGGCCTGTAATACCGCTTCAAGTTCTCTTGCCCACTTTTATCCAAACTATTTTTCGCTAGACTTTGTATATCAAAGGGTTATTTCCAATAAAACAAAATCACAAAATCTCATGTACATACACCCTATACCAATACTGTATTGCAATTTTGGTGAAAACGAATAACACTTATATTATGTTCAAGTAGACTAACATGAGAGTGGTGTTTAGTTGCAGTTGTCATATTGCTTGGCTTTTGTGTCTGCTGTATTATATTGTTGATATGGGTAAATACGAATAGATTATATGGCAATGAATGAGATTTAATGTTTGCGATATTTTTCCTTTCAGCACCGTTGAATGAGCTGCCCAGTCACATCACAGGAAAGTGGATAAGTATAATTTATTTATGAAACTCAAACTGTATCAGTATCTAGGATAATTAAACAAATGATCCCTGATTTTGTCCGATCATGTTTCTTTTCGATTCAATGGATAATACGTTCACCAACATGACATCATCCACAGTCCTCTTCCCAGTATAATCCCTAATATAGAACTCCAAATTCTTAAACAACTTTATGGTAGGAAACCCTGATATCTGGAACTCCTCCGTAACATCCGGGTTTTCCATGCACTCAATCATGGCCATGAACTTGGAGAACCCTTCGGTGTCCATTTCCTTGGCAGCCGTCATGTATTTGGGCTTCATTTTTTCGCTATTCCCACACCAGGGGGCGTAAAACATGACAACACGTTGTACTGTCAGTTTCCGTTTTTTTTTCATCAATGGGTTACGTGCAAGAACTGTCAGATGACCGACCCTGGAGGCGAAACATTGAAACACAACCTCACTTTTCTTATTTATTTACAAGTGATTTAAATAGTTTTTTACAATTATTTTGGCGTACGAATCGTGTTTTTCGGCTATTCAATTATTCGCGAATGCCATGATATTGTGCTGTTGTACAATGCACAAAAAATGCAGCGAGAGACGAAGAAATCTGGTTGGTACATTATGATTTAGAAGTAAGTACCTACTATACTCACTCACGTATAGTTTTTATTATGAAATTTGGTAATTTCTCTGATATCTCATCGGAACTCCTTCTGCAATAGGAGCTAATAAAAATACTTGTGAAATTTTTAAGAGAATGCAACAAGATTGGATTCAAGCGATCAAACGGGAGGATTGGTCTGACATACTGACGAAATATGATCATGTGTGTTGTAGACATTTTCAATCTATTAGCAATATTATATAGCTTCTATTGCAGAAGTGGCAGAAGGGATTTTAATAAGAAATGACAAAATTTTATAATGAAAACTTTGTGAGATTACTATTTACCTGAAAAATCATATTCCTTCGTCTCTCGCTGCATTTTTGGTGTATTGTACAACAGCACAATGAGAAGGCATGCTTGAACTAGAGAATAGCGCAAAAGACACGATTCGTATACCAAAATATTGCGAAAAACTATTTGAATCCTTTGATTCCTCTGTAAACGAATGAAAAAGTGAGGTTGTGTTCCAATGTTTCACAGAAAAGTGAGGTTATGTTTCAATATTGTACCTGCAGGGTCGGTCATCGTGCACGCGACCTATTTACTTTAGGTTAGATATGTCTGTCACAGCTTTGGCAGAGCGTGGGTACTCTAAATATTTAAAAACGTCAAATTCATTGAGGAACTATTGTATAACTATTTGTTCATCACGTTTTTTCTTTAGGAGTACTTGGAGCATTTTCATAGGAGTAATAAAAACCAATAATCGATTCGAGACATTTTTTAATAAATTAGTTACCATAAACCAATGAGTATTATCGAAGGTCATCCAGACATTAGAAAAATACAAAAAAATCATCAAGCGCCCCCTCACAATTCATCCTTTTTACCCCTCACGTAAGGCAACACGAAATTCTTGATATCATCCACAGTCCTCTTCCCAGTATAATCCTTCACGAACTTCCCATTTTTAAACAACTTTATGGTAGGAAACCCGGATATCTGGAACTCCTCCGTCACATCCGGGTTTTCCGTGCAATCAACCATGGCCATGCACTTAGAAAACCCTTCGGTGTCCAGTTCCTTGGCTGCCGCCATGTAATCCGGCTTCATTTTCTTGCAATGTCCGCACCAGGGGGCGTAAAACATGACCAGCAGCACGTTGTTTTTTTCGAGGATAGCCCTGAAGTTCTTGTCGTCTAGTTGAATTATGCTGGGGTCTACGGCCCATTGGTCTTTCGCCACCGGTTGAGGCGTTGTTTCCGGGGCCTTTTCCGGATCCAGCATGAATTGGGTGAAGTCTGCCGCCTGAAAAAAATGTTGGAATCGAGGAAATACTCAGATTGTCCAGCAGATCGCGCTAATGACACGAGAGGTAAAATTTGGTGAAGGCCTTGACTATTCACACTGACAAAATGATCCACCTCCATGTAAGGACCTATTTATGCATCATTGTCTCAGTCTTAGTCTTAGTCACAGTCATTGTTTCAATCATAAAATCAAGTTATGAGCACATACATTTCAATAGATAAATTCATGCAACATTTTTAGTCTCAGTCCTAATCATAATCATTAAATCATGACCTTGAAAATTACAAACTTTCAATTTTTATGCTTATGATTGAGACCACATAAGAAATGCTCATGTTGACAATCACAAATGACTTTTAATTTTGTGTTTGTCATCAAAAAATCAGTGCCATTCTATGGTGTGTCCATTGTCTGCTAAATATGGAGAAAAAATCTAGTGAGCTGGAGTATCTGGTCTGCCCAAAACAAGGGAAATCACCTACAGGGTTCTGTGGCCGATACAGTAGTACCGCCATACGGTCAACTCGAGGAGACACTCATTTCAATTGTTTACCTGTCAAACCTACATAACCTTGAAAATCGTAAATGAGTTGAGCCTCCCTCAGCGGTGCTCTCGACAGTCTCGGCCGGCGGCGTAGTTTGTTCAGTGAGTTTGAGTTCAGTCACGACATTCACGATTCACAGTCACTCAACAATTCAAAAATAGTTCATGCAGATAATGGAGATATTGGAGATATGACAGATATGTAGAGACCGAGCCCCCTTACTGGCATACTGGCCCTTACAGCCCTGGACGAAATACGGAATTCTGTGCATATTGATCATGATATTTTATGGTTTGTGAAGTTTATTGATGTGCTCAGCTGTGAATCAATTGTGGAAATGAAGTTTTTCATCAGGAATAAGCAAATATATGGTTATAATAGAAGGAAAGGAATCATGAAGAATCTTATCCACAGATCTTATCTTGTATCTTGAAGGTATCTTAAATACTACCTTGTATGCAGGAAAACATGTTTACCAAGGAAAAGATCCACATCTCTCAGATTTGAAACTATGGGAACTCAAGGAAAGTATAATTACTACTGCTTCAGTTTCCTGCTGAGCCTAAGAACTAGGAACTGGCATGACAGCTCTTGACACTGACAACCAGTGACAACTTACATAACCGCAAATTTCACAAATTTTCTAGAAAAAAGTGACGATCATTTTGTACGATACGGTAACATCCTCTAGTGGTCCTACACTCAACTTAGCTATAGGGAAGACCAGTAGTTCCAGCTCACTAGATTTTTTCTCCATATTTAGCAGACAATGGGTGTGTCAATAATTGATAACATCATTCTGATAATTTGATTACATTTGATAACAAATATAAAAAAAAATTATGAGCCTGGAAGAAGGAACTCTACTAGATTTGGTGGAGAGAATGACTGAAAAGACAAAGATAAAATTGCTCAAGATAATTCCTGGAAATCAATGTCACAAATCATGGCATTGACTGGTAAGTAGACTACATTTTATCTCTGGTGTATAGAATTTGTTTTTGTACATATCTACTGACGAATCTCTTGACGGATTGTCAATTGTCATATAATAATTCTTAAGCCTAAAGACTGTGATGCATAAAGGTCGAAATATAATGAGTTAATATTCTATCCACCTTAGTAAGACTATGGTTAAGACAATGACTAAGATAATGATGCATAAATAGGCCCTAAAATGTTGAAGCCAAATTCGGAGTTCTTCGCTAGGTCGTAGGCGGCGCTACCGCAACTCAGCAAAATATGGTCGATTTTTCTATACCAGTGACGGCTCGTCAAGAAAGGCAGGGTCGGGCGGACAGTACCAAAAAATTTTAGTAAAAAATCTGACCTATTTGATGAATAATAGTTATTTATTATATAAGGGAAAAAAGTAGTAGATTTTAGCTCCAGGTTGTGTTGTCTCCCGACGCATAGCGGAGGGAGACAAAAAACCGTGAGCTAAAATCTAATATTTTTCCCGTGTATAATACACTATTTTTTTCTGTGACAGAAGAAAGGACGAATCAATATTGAGAAGATATTACATCATTTTGAAATTATCGAGATGAAATTTTAGGTTTTTAACAGCAGGGACACCTGCGTTGTAGGCATCTTTATCATTCTTTTGAAGTAATCAAATATCTGATGTCACTTCTGTCAGTCAGTGATTTGATTTAAAAAAATTGCGAATTTAGTGGTTGTTTAGTAATATACGTAACCGCGAAGTCGAATAGAAGATAAAAGGACTTGCAGTTTTTTCTCGGAGACGGTACTATTGACTCATTTTTGGGAAAAAAGTAATTTATGAAAAGTGACATTTTATAACCTGCCAACAGAGATGAAATGCCAAACTTTTTTCCCGTCACAGAAAAAAATGATTTTTTCTTCGGCTATAACACAAAATTGTTATTGTTTAACTGTGTTCGATGCATCAAAGAGGTACTTTGTATGTCATCAATTTTATTTCCGTATCTGATATCACAATGAGTCCATTGTGTTATTTAAAAAAAAAATCGTCGCTCATGGAATGTAAAATTTCAATCAATGGCAGCTCTGTCTGATAGATGAGCATTACTTGACAGGAAATCAGATGGCTACAAGACGAAGAAATCGAAAATGTCGCTATTGCTGCAGGTATTTTCAAAATAGGGTATTGCCATTTGAGAAAAAAAAAGATAATGACGTCATAATTCGAACAGTGATGCCGTCATCAAGAATGTGAGTGGACAAAAGAATGCTCAACTGGAAGAGAAAATTGACGTGACTGAGCTTTTTTCTCCACTGGCCATATCAACCTTTACATGCTCACTGTATATTTCTTATTGTACCTCCTTCACATAGACTAGTGGCCTGTGTGTCAAAGAGATGAATTATTTCATGTAAGTATACAAATGCTTTTCACATTACAATATCAATACAATATACAATAGTAAGAATAAAATAAAGGAAAGGAAAAAAGTTGATTGAAAAAGATCATAGACTTTTTTGCATTTTCTATAACCCAACATTTAACCTTTTTTTGAGTTATAATATTTAGACGTTTCAATTTTAAAAACTGGGATGTTCTTCAAAAATTGTATGCTTATCTTTTTCATAACTATGATATAATTGATATTATTTGTTATTGCAGGATGCTTTTTGATGAAGATTTTTGACGCCTTATAAAATAATTGCCTAACATTTAATATCCTATTTTCAAAAAACAATGGGGATGATGGATAATCAAATGATTTAGGGAATATTATTTTGTAAACATATTTTCGAATATATAACAAAGGTTTTGAATGAGTTTATATACCACCTCATTCAATGATTCCATACGATGATATACCGGGTGTTTCTCAAGAGTGGCTCACAACTATAACTTTTGTATTTTAGTCCAATAAATGAAGGAGGAAAAAAAGGCAAAGTTAACGTTAATTACGCACTATTTTCATCTTCCGGTTGGAAGTAGCTTTTGGTACCTCATTAAACATGAGACAAAGTTTGACTGGAAAACTGGCGGAGAAAATGGCCCCAAAAGACCAGGAAAATAGGTTTTCAGCCAATATCTCCTAAAATATGGCAGTTAGAGATTTTCGGTTCAGATAAAAATTGAAGTTCAGTTAATTTTCTACAAAAATGGTCCTTATCATTTTTCTCGAAAAATTTGCCCGGTTTCGAGAAAAACGGCACGAAGCGCACCTCGAATAATGAGCTTCTGTGTTGTTTGCCGGAGAGCACAGTCCGTGTATTTACACATCGGCGGGGGGACAAATTATTCAATAACTTTGTTAAAAATGCATATTTTCTCATGATTCAAAGTTCATGTGAAAGAGGAATTCTGCTGCTATCATACCCTGCGTGGCCGCATGGTTTGTAGCAGACGACCCGAGCGCCACGTAGAGCACACACGCGGCGAACGACGGAGGAACGAAAGTAATAAATTATAGCGTGTACATTTAGATATACTGTTTTTTTCCCGGGATATCAAAGGTATGACTTATATACATCGATGGAAAGGTGGGAATTCCCCCGTTACACTAGTTAAGGTGTTAAAATGTTAGAAATAAATAGCACGGAGAAAAAAAACACCGAAAAAAAAAGTGCGTTTTTTCCTTGACCCCGCTTTTTCTAATTTTATTGAAAAATGGACGACTTCGTCTAACAAAGTAATTGCACAATCGAAAAGGAAACCTTCTTAGCTTTCAAATGATGTATCATAGAAACCAATCGGATCATGTATAAATTTTTAATTGATGGTTGTTCACAAAATTTCCCCGCGCTCCAAAAACAGCAAAAAATTGGGATTCAATAAACAAAGATTAAATGAAAATTAAAAAAAAATTAGGGTATATAAATTTCAGGGATGACGAAGGACCTTATGAGGACCCATAATCAAGAGAATTTTGAGTGAATTAGTGCAATACAAAAAAAATAGGAACAAATTCCTGGCGAGGTCAAAATTGACCGGGAGCAGAAAGTTTGACCCATGTTCCGATATGGCCAAAAGAGTCAAGCGTGACTCAATTCACAGGGTATGATAGCAGCAAAATTCCTCTTTCACATGAACTTTGAATCATGAGAAAATATGCATGTTCAACAAAGTTATTGAATAATTTGTCCCCCCGCCGATGTGTAAATACACGGACTGTGCTCTCAGGCATACAACAAGCTCATTATTCGAGGCAAATTTTCTAGAAAAATGATAAGGACCATTTTTGTAGAAAATTAACTGAACTTCAATTTTTATCTGAACCGAAAATCTCTAACTGCCATATTTAAGGAGATATTGGCTGAAAACCTATCTTTCTGGTCTTTTGGGGCCATTTTCTCCGCCATCGCACGCGTTTTCTAGTCAAACTTTGTCTCAAGTTTAATGAGGTACCAAAAGCTACTTCCAACCGGAAGATGAAAATAGTGCGTAATTAATGTTAACTTTTTCCCTTTATTTATTGGACTATTTCTACAGATAAACAACCGAAATTCGGTGTGTGAGTATAGTACATAAATATGTATTATTAGACGTATTCAATTGTTTTCTGTCACTTCACTATTTCAAATGGGATACCCGGTGTATTTTTAATTATATTTCGATAGAGAATCACATTGTGAGTTAACAACTGTTTCAACTCATTCATGACACTCTGAATTGCAAATTGAGAAATGAAAAGCAGGATGATATATTTATGTCAAAAAGTGGAAAATGGGGTGACATTGTACTCACAATGTGATTCTCTATCGAAATAAGTGAAAATATACCGGGTGTCCCATATAAAATAAGAAAATGAGGGTTATTTCCGGTCAAACACACACCGAAATTCATTTATTTATCTGTAGAAACAAAATAGTTATAGGGGTGAGCAACTTTTGAGAAACACCCGAGAGTATGATAAAACATGGATAATAATCAATAGATTATCTTACCGTTCTTCCGCCAGTATAAGTCTTCGTAATTTTGGTGTAATAACTGAAATATTTGATCGTGGGGTATCCCTTCACTTCGTGAGCACTGCAAACGGCCGGGTGCGCGGTGCAGTCCACGGCGGCAAACTCCACTTTGGTGTCGTCTCGGAAGTTCTCGGCAGCTTGCGTGAACTCCGGTTTCGCCCTTTTGCAATGCCCACACCCTGTAATCGACATCGAGATCGTTCAAATCGGACAAAGTTGGGTCTTGTAGTATTTGTACGTTTTTCAGAGATTCTTGGAAATTGGAAATGATTTGGCAACAGCGCTACGCTACTGAACCACCGTTAAACAAATCGTATTTTACGACAAAATGTTCCGGAAAATTCGTGGAGATGACTGAGTTTTTGTTGTTTTTCATCAATATTTCATTCCATTTCAAGCATTTTAGCTATTTCATAGTTGGAATTTTAAAGTGTTGTGAGGTGTATGAGCATTCTGTGATGGGGGTCATAATTCAGAGGTACACAATAGGACAATCAGTACCAAATCTACCAACTCAGAGTTTCATAGACTACCGATGGACGAACTGAACTTTCATGTCGTCTCGGAAGTTTTCGGCAGCTTGCGTGAACTCCGGTTTCGCCCTTTTGCAATGCCCGCACCCTGTAATCGACATCGAGATCAGTCAAATCGAACAAAGTTGGGTCTTGTAGTATTTGTACGTTTTTCAGAGATTCTTGGAAATTGGAAATGATTAGGCAACAGCGCTACGCTACTGAACCACCGTTAAACAAATCGAATTTTACGACAAAATGTTTCCGAATATTCATGGAGATGACTGAGTTTTTGTGGTTTTTCATTAATATTTCATTCCATTTCAAGCATTTCAGCTATTTCATAGTTGGAATTTTAAAGTGTTGTGAGGTGTATGAGAATTCTGTGATGAGGGTCATAATTCAGAGGTGCAAAATAGGACAATCAATACCAAATCTACCAACTCAGAGTTTTATAGACTACCGATGGACGAACTAAACTTTGATGTCGTCTCGGAAGTTTTCGGCAGCTTGCGTGAACTCCGGTTTCGCCCTTTTGCAATGCCCACACCCTGTAATCGAGATCGGTCAAATCGAACAAAGTTGGGTAGTATTTTTACGTTTTTCAGAGATTCTTGGAAATTGGAAATGATTTGACAACAGCGTTACGCTACTGGACCACCGTTTGGAAATTCGTATTTCACTACCAAATTTTTCCGAACATTTGTGGAAATGACTGAATTTTTGTTGTTTTTCATTATTTCATTCCACTTTAAGTATTTTAGCTATTTCATAGTTGGAATTCTAGAGTATTGTGAGGTAGAGATACAAAATAGGACAATCAGTACCAAATCTACCAACTCAGAGTTTCATAGACTACCGATGGACAAACCAAACTTTGTTGTTGTCTTGGAATTTTTTGGAGGCTCGCATGAACTTCGGTTTCGCCTTTTTGCAGTGGCCGCACCCTCTAATCGACATCGAGATCAGTCAAATCGAACAAAGTTGAATCTTGTAGTATTTTTACGTTTCTCAGAGATTCTTGGAAATTTGAAATGATTAGGCAACAGCGCTACGCTACTGGACCACCGTTAAAAAAATCGTATTCCACGAAGAAATTTTTCCAAACATTCTTGGAAATGGCTGAGTTTTTGTTGTTTTTCATTAATATTAGATACCACTTCAAGCATTTTAGCTATTTCATAGTTGGATATTCAAAGTGTTGTGAGGTATATGAGAATTCTGTGATGGGGGTCATAATTCAGAGGTACAAAACAGGACAATCAGAAGTTTAGATGTAGTTATTGTTTTTACGTTTTTCAGGGTGTCTCGGAAATTGGAAATGATATGGCAACAGCCAACAGCGCGACTAGAGCGCCCTTAATAGTTATTTATGTAACAAGGATCATATAGACAATCATTATGGTACAAGTCGTGAATGTTATATAACAGGACGTGTGCCATAATGATTGTTTATGATTCGTATTACATTAAACACTTTATCTGATGGCATCTATATTAATACGTTATCGAAAAATTAAAAATTGCATTTTTGACATGTCACAATGACAACTATTTTTAAAGGAGTAAGTATATGTAATGCGGGAATTTTTTGTAACTTCGAAGAATATCGCAGGATTGAATATGGTAGAACTTGTCAGACAATATGTGAAAATTTACCTCATCCTGAAGAATATACCGGACACTGTTTTCGGCGATCGTCTGCTTCATTTTTGACTGATTCTGGAGATGATCTGTGTACCGTGAAACGCCATAGCGGATTGAAAAGCAATACTGTTGCTGAATGTTACATCAAAAATTCGAAAGAGCAAAAGAAAAAATATCAGAAGCAATTTTTGGTGCCAAAAAGTTTACTGATGTGAAAACTCTAGAATCCATTGGAATTAATATTTCAAATTGTAGTAAATGCTTATTTACCATTAATAATAAGTAGTTTTGTACATAGTTATGCATTTTGAATAAAGTTGTTAGATCTCACCATTACATGTTATGTCATATAGAATGTCATTATGGTACTCAGTTCCATAATGAATTCATTATGAAACTAAGAACCATAATGCGCTTCTTTATGTCATCAAATTTGAATGACATAACGTTGTCATTATGACATGCCATCAGATAAAATTCCTCATTTTACTAACAATTTCAAAATGTAGTGACGTATACAGGGTGATTCATTTAGAATGGGCAATCTCCGAATTGCAGATAGTAAACACCAAAATATGAATATTTAGCCCAGCAAGCCTTATGAAAATGTCGCTAGTTAAGGGAAAATCCATTTTAAAATTGTTCAGTTTGATTGAGCATTCACTTCAAACTATAACACTAGAAAAAAATCAAGCAAAACACTTACAGGGCGCGTAGAAAATCACCAGCACGTGCTTCTTCTTCTTCAAGAACGGCTTGAACGTGTCCTCGTTCAGGTGTACCACGTGACTCGCCTCGTCGGCCCACGGACTCTCGGGAGGCGGTGGTGGCGGTGGTTCCTTCGGGTTCCGCATGAACTCGATGATTTTCGGGGCTTCTCGTACGTTTACGTCGAACTTTTGCTCGCCGTACGAGAAGTACACGATGGTGGGGTAGCCTTTCACGGAGAACCTCGAGGCTAAGGAAGGCTCTTTGGTGGCATCTACTGCTGCCAACATACCCGGTATCTGCATAATATTGAGCAATTCAAAATACGACTTTTTTCTCTTAGTTTTTTTTTCATTTTTGTTTTTTGCTGTTCTTGAGGCAAAAAGGCTCGATGGGAGTGAAACAACGTTGACAACCGCACTTTTCTTATTTGTTTAGAAAAGATTGTGTTTATTGGAATATTTATTTATTCAGGCATGCCATCACATTGTGCTATTATACAATGCACAAAAAATGCAGCGAGAGCCGAAGGAATAGGATTTATTTTTAGGTAGGTAAATAGTTGTTCCTGTGGTGGCTCACATAATTTTCATTTTGTAATTTTGTCATTTCTCTTTTGCAATAGGAGCGAATAGAAAGACTTGTGAAGTTTCTAAAATAAGGCAAGAAGCATGCTGACAAAATATGGTCGTGTGTGCTGTTGTACACAAAAATGCAGCGAGAGACGAAGGAATAAGATTTATTTTCAGGTAGGTAAATAATTGCTCCTCTAGTGACTCACAAAGTTTTCATTTTGTAATTTTGTCATTTCTCTTTTGCAATTAGAACGAAAAGAAAGACTTGTTTAGTTTCTAATATAAGGCAAGAAGCTTGCTGCTATGTTAGCATCTTCAGGAGAAGATTAAAACTGAATGCTCTATCCTAGTGGGCTACTTATACAGGGTGTTTCATGAGAAGACTCACATAGCCGAATGGTTAATAGGGGAAATCAAGACGAGTTGATGTATATATATGAAAACATTTTTTTACCCTCCATAACGAAGATACAGAGTATTATGTGAAATTGGTATATAAATTTGATCGTAGATATTACAGAAATGATTTGTCGTGATCTGCTGAAATTTGGCAGCGACGTATCACTACTGAAACTATTCAAGATAACATATTATGAAAAAAATATCAAGGTCCGGACTTGGGGAAATTTTATGTTTCATTGTTATGTCAAAAAAGTTCATTTTTTGACCACTTTTCTCGAAAAATTCCATCAGATTTAGAAAGATCAGACAAAATTCTATGATAACTGCTCTTCAATTTACACGGCACACTTTGACCGGTTCAATAAAAAAATATGGAACAAAATCGTTCGAATGAATTTTGAATTTCGACCTGGCTCATAACTGTCAACTTTCAACTGGTATCATGTGAATTGATTTTTTCTACATTTTTGTCGGATAGTAATTGACAGAAAGATAGACGGGAAGAAAAAACACGATATTTTCTATCGAAATTCCAGATAGATATTATTATTCCTGACTTTATGGGTGTCGCTTGAAGTGAGATATCGAGTAGGTCCTGTTTTTCATTTGTGTGACGAGACGTGACGTTTGTTGATAATCCGAACTGATAGGTAGCTACTAGGCTAGTACTAGGTAGGTACCAACTGATGAAATTATGACATGAGGATTCATGTGCCCATATTATGGTGATTTATCAAATTAGTTATGCCATCACGCATAAACTTAGCTCAATTTTTTGTTATTGATACACTTCTGCAAGTGATATAAGGATATGCATTTGCTATTCGTTCAAAATTCCTAATGTTCATCCTCGTGAAGGATTTACTGCAACGTATTCTCTTGGGTCTGGAAATTTTCTATGGTATTAAACATAGCATATAGCATTTGGATTTTCGTCTTGTTCAGCATTTGGAATATGAAGTGGCATCTAGAGTGTAAGAATATTTCGATTACCAGTGTTTACCTATCAACAAACGTCACGTTACATAAAATAAAATCAGGGCCCACTTTATAATAAATTCATAAAATAGAGTCACGAGTAATCATATCTATCTAGAAGTTCGGTCAAAAACTAACATGTCAAATCATAAAGAAATCAGAACTAATCTCTTCTGTCAATTTCTATCCAATAAAAATGTACAAAAAATCAATTTACACGAATCCAGTTAAAAGTTGAGAGTTATCAGCCAGGTCGAAATTGAAAATTCATTCGAATGTTTTTGTTCCATATTTTTTTGTTGAACCGGTCAAAGTGTGCCGTGTAAATTGAAGAGCAGTTCTTATAGCATTTTGTCTGATCTTTCTGAATCTGATTGAATTTTTTTAGATAAGTGGTCACAAAGTGAACTTCTAGGACATAACAATGAAACATAAAATTTTCCCAAGTCCGCACCTGGATATTTTTTTCATAATATGTTATCTTGAATAGTTTCAATAGAGAAACGTCGCTACCAAATTTCAGCAGATTACGACGAATCATTTCTGTAATATCGACCATCAAAGTTATATGGCAATTTCACATAATACCCTGTATCTTCGTTATGGAGGGTCAGAATATGTTTTCACATATATACATCAACTCGTCTTGATTTCCCCCATCAACCATTTGGCTATGTGAGTCTTCTCATGAAACACCCTGTATACTAGGTATATGTCCACCCAATCGCCAAGTTATTCATGTTATTCATGGTTTAGTTCACCGGCCGGCGTACCTCAGTGCTTCGATGCTTCAATATCGATTCACGTCGAGGTATCGATCGTGGGTTCGAGTCCCACGAACGCAGACTTTTTCTGATGGCCTAAGAAAGTGTTTGGGATCACACGTTAAAAGGGAAGGCCCCCGTCATTCCTTGCTCGCACAAGACTTTCGTAGACTTCTGAGGGTTGCTCGTAAGGGGGCAACCGAATGACGGATAGAACAATTTTAAAACATTTTTTTTTAAACAACATGTTATATTACTAAACTATACAGAGGGCTGAATGGGATAGGTCCATTATCCGTATTCATTGCTCTATTACTATTCTTAAATGGCGTCCCATAAAAACAAAATTCAAAGAACACTTAGCACATTTAAAATATGGTAGGTTAGAGGTGAAATATGGGGCTGGAAAAGTACAGAATGGTGGGGTAGCCTTTCACGGAGAACCTTGAGCCTAAGCAAAGATGATACACACGCTAGATAGTTAACGCTTGTATAAAAATTGGCAACGCTTCGATAGGATCTAACAGACCGGCGGCTAATCGGCTGTGCTGATTCGTTGACCATATATTAATATATGGGTCGGTGAAATACGCAGCGTTATAATGAATAAGATACGCACAGCAGATTATCGTTCGCTCCCAACTTAGCGTTGCCCATTCTTACATTCACGGTACCTATCTAGTGTGTCTGATCTTTGGGCTAAGAAGGGCTCTTTGGTGGCGTCCACTGCCCCCAAAATACCGGAAATCTTGATAATACTGAACAATTCAAATGGTAACTTTTTTGTTTCATATGGGGTTTTCTTTTTTTTGCTCGTTTTCGAGACAAGAGAACACTTTATTCGATTGACACTTGAAGTTTAATTCTTGTAACAGCTCTCAATGACTTTCTATGACAATGTTATTGAAAAAAAAAACCTTCACAAACGATAATATTTCTACAAGAATCTCAAGAACACGACATGTTTCGCTAAGAATAGCTTCTAGTAAAATACTAGTACGATAAACTAACCTAACATTGACTTGCCTAATGTGAAACGTCACAAGTATCTAGAGAAACTTCAGGGGGTCATTTGTATTGTTTATTATATGAAAAAAAAAAGGAAAATTTATTTGTTTTACTAGGTAGCAAAGTAGTTAATTGGCTGCCGCGACTGATAGTTCATACCCGAGCGTAGCGAGGCTAGGAATTCAGCCAAGGTAGTCAATCTATTTTGCTGTCATGTGAAACATATATTTTTTCACCAAATTCTATAAAACCAATTCTGTGTAATTTTTTTAATGAAAACTACATCATTTCGTGTTTACCCAGTGTCAGTGTCAATTGTGATTACCTATTTCATTCAAATTACTTGAATTCAGCCAAGGTAGTCAATCTATTTTGCTGTCATGTGAAACATATATTTTTTCACCAAATTTTATAAAACCAATTCTGTGTAATTTTTTTAATGAAAACTACATCATTTCGTGTTTACCCAGTGTCAGTGTCAATTGTGATTACCTATTTCATTCAAATTACTTGAAATGTGTTGCATAGCAACAAACTCTTCCTGCCTAGACAAAGAAACTACACCTTTGCTGCCGGTTAAGCATCATAGAAAAGCCACTTTCTATACCGTTTGGAGTGAAACATTTATCCAAAAACAATCCGTTTATGAAGAAAAATGGTCTGGAAATTGTTGCCATTGGATATTACATTTACTAAAGTGTTTTGCCCGAAATAAGAATAATACTCAGTTTTTTTGCATGGAGAAAGAATATTTGCCATCATAGCTCATACCAAGGTCTTTCACTCCATCATCAATCAATCAATCAACTTTAATATTCCCAAGACACAACATTTGTTTGTAGCACGGAACATGGTGAATATATAAATATATTTGCCACAATAAAAAAGACAGTAAAATAAGACTCACACTCAAAAAGAAATTTTTCTTTAAGTTCAACTGAAAATGATTCTTAATTGACTCAGCTGTTAGGTACCCAATTGAAAATTATAGTAGTTATACGAGAAAACTATAAAAATTAGATAAGATGTCAATATTACAGGAGTAGATGTTTCTTCAATTCTTTTTCAAATTATTCAATCCTATTAATCAATTTCAATTTATTTGGCAGTGAATTGTATTGTATCATTCCATTGTGATAAATGTTTTTTTTACCAATATCTGATTTAATTTTTTGACAGAAAAATGATCTGCTTGTCTAGTTGTATGGTTGTGGTGACTAGTATTGATTTGGAAAACCAAATTTGAATGCTTTTGACAATATTCAACTGAATGAATGAATAATTTGAATCAATATAGTGAATCTATATCTAATAACTCTCTTCTTCTGTAAAGGTTCTTAGTAGGTTCCAAATAATTTAGTCTGTATATACATTTGATAATTTAATTTTGAAGAGTTTTGAGAGGCTTCATAATTGATAGTTTTGTTGATCCCCATACAGAAATCAAATATTCAAGTTTAGAATAGATCAAGGAGAAGTATATAGATTTGAGACATTTCATAGGAACTTGATTCCGTACCCTAAAAAGTATACCTATTATCATAATAAATCACTATCACTCACCCCTTCACTTTTCATTTGACCGGCCGCAGCTTCATACTCCGGCTTCATTTTCTTGCAATGTCCACACCATGGTGCATAGAACATGACCAGAACGGAGGCTTCCTCTTTGACCACCAAATCGAAATTCGTGGACATGAGATGGACCACTTCGTTGTCGAGGTCGGACCATTCGGGCTCTTTGATTTTCACCGGAGGAGCGGTGGGGTTCTGCATGAAAGACACGATAGCGCTCTTCTTGTTCTCACCTTCATAGGTGTATTTGATTTGGCCGTTTCTGTGGAAGTAGGAGAACTACACCTTTTCCAGTTGTCTTTAAGAAAGCGTCTAAGCGAGTGGACTATTTTTTTAAATTCTTCAACCCGAGAACGCTCGCATTCCGATTTGACGGCAAGCATATATTTTTTCTCTCCCGCATTTATTTGGCTCGTCATTTTACGACGCGCTTTAGAGTCTTCAACTCTATACTTTTGGTTTTTGTCAAAGATTGTTGCTAAAAGCTGAAAATTGACATTTGGTCGTTTCCACCGACGCGCAATCATTTTCAAGTTTGTACCAAATTATTAATTATTAACATAAAATTGGAGGTTATAATCGAATAAATGTGACAAAACCAAATAGATGATAACTTATTTTTGATATGTATTATACGTATTTATTTTGTATAATGAATTATGAAACAGAAATTGAACACTTGTATTTTTTATTACATAACGAGTTCGTCATTTTTATTTTTGTTCAAAAACATTCCTACTTTTTGTTTATAGACAATGGAAGCCGGGACTGGCGCAGTGGAAGAGCGTCCGTCTCACGACCGCAAGGTCGTGGGTTCGATTTCCAGCACGGGCAAGGAACTTTTTTCAATATTTTATTCACGAATTAAATATTGTAAAGTTTCGGAGCATCGGCTGGGGATAGTCCTGCACGATTCGCTGTTGCGTTCCAATTAACAGTGCTGCTCCTAAAGTGGTGCATGGAGTTAGTAACAAAGCCTACACAGAACACGCAGAAAGATATGATGATGTGGTTGTGAGCGTCAGAGAAGAAGTAGGACGGTGTATGTAGGTGGGTGTGGAAAAACTACCAGCTGAGCGTGAGAGCGGGCCAGCTGCTTAAGTAGACCTCGGTCTCGGGGGTTAACGATGATAGTTAGCAGGCCTGCCACTGCGCATATGGTAGTGAGTACATTACTAGCCTACAAAACACAGCTGAAAAACTCTGAAAAGAGAGCTGATGGGCGGTGCCTGAAAAGGATGTTAGCCAGCTCTCTTAAGCGAACCACATCAGTCATTGAAAAACACTTGGGGTTGGCAAAAAGGTCCCATTGGGGACTAGTTGCTGACGTGGAAACGTCCCCCACCAGTACCAGTACCAGTACCAGTTATACACAATGGAGCTACTATGAAAGGTATATCAGCAGCTAGATACCAAAATGAACAACAGAAATAATGACAAAATAAAGGAATTCCTAGTCGGTCAAAACGGCCAGCCACTAGCATCACATCAACTTTCATATTTCATATTTTTAAAGAACTTTTTGGTCGATCGAAGTAGGGCAGACCATAGCACAGCTGCTTTGTGTCGAAATACGATTGGGAATTTCAGAAATATTAGTTATTCGATAACTCATAAATTCTCAATTGAGTATTGGTAATACTCCTAACTCGACTCCTAATCAGCAATAAAAATTGAACTGTCTCAAAATTTTCCCTTGTGATTTGTGGCTTATTGCTTATAATAAATTTGAGTAAGTAATAATTATATTAATTCACACTACAGGACATTGAATCGGTGAACGTGACAACCACGGAGCACGACTTGTGGGCGTGGTCTTGTCGTTTCTCAGCATTCAGCACAATGTTGCCAAGTCTCCAACATGCACATGATATGTTGTTATGGAGAATAAGAAATATTTGGACAAGCTGGTTGCTCGAAAAAGTCAAGAATGAACTATAACATCATGGGTTCCTCCTATTATGTTTTATTCAACGACAGGACTCTAACATCTTTTTGATAACTTGATTATAATTGATGACTTGACAACCTTGCTTCATGAGTGGAAAAGGAAGATTATCTGACCAATAACGAAACAGCATTAATACTGACGTCACCATTTATTCGACGTATCCCCAAATGGCGACCAGGAAGGTTCGTTTGAAATGAGCTGTGAAATTCAACAATTCCAAACAACGCATACTCATTATTTACATAAAAAAGCGTGAGAACTGTTGCAAAAATTAATTCCTAACGACACAGTGGAGTAATTGAATGCCAATAATTTATTATGGTACCATTCGCCCATTGTATTTCAAAATAGTCAGTTGTATTTCAGAAAGCGTCAATGGGCTTATATCACAAACATTTTTTTTTTATAATTCGATAGAACTCACCCAAACTAGCTCACCACCGCAAACCGTTTCTTGCTGTGAGCTCCCTACGTTTTATAAAAAATTATTGAAATCCCCGATTTTTCGGACCTCTGAAAACGAGGCGATGATGTGACGTCAAAACCCTAATACTGAAAAAAGACTATTCCAGACAGAGATGAATGATACATGATTTCTGACAGAGTGAATTAGCGCACAGTTCAAAGAATTAGTATATCAGTTGCCTCAGTCTCCGTCGGGCTTTTGGTATTTTCTTTTAACTATGGCGAGATGAGGTTTCTACATCATATTAGGAGAATCCGTTTTCAGATGGTACTATTATTTATGTCCAAAAATAAAACATTCCAGGCAATTTTTCGATCGAATTATGTCGTCAATCATTATTTATGTATAAAAGGATCATTATAAACATGGTTTGAGTTAAAAGTTCTACTAAGGCGTACACGCCCATTCAATTTCAGAAAGATTCTATTGTATTTCAGAATATTCACATGTATTACAGATGCGTCAATTGTATTTCAGAATGGTCAATTCAATTTCAGAATAGTCAAATGAATTTTAGAAAGTGTCATTTGTATTCCATAAAATATAATTCAAATGTGACTATTCTGAAATACAATTGACGCTTTCTGAGATATAAATGACGATTCTGAAATACAATTGACGCTTTCTGAAATTCAATTGACTATTCTAAAATACAATTGAAACGTTTTTAAATACAAGTGACTATTCTGGAATACACTTGACGCTTTCCGAAATTGAACTGACGCTTGCTGTAAAACAACTGGGGAAGGTGTAGATCTCATAGCTAAAAGATCTACACCTTTCACATGCATTTCAGAAAGCATCAATTGTATTTTAAAATAGTTAATTGACTTTCACAAAGCGTCAATTGTATTTCAGAATAGTCAATTGAATGTCAGAAAGCGTCATTTGTATTTCAAATGATTATTTTCTGGAATACAAATGACTTTTCTGCAATACAATTGATGCTTTCTGCAATACAACTGAAAAAGGTGTAGATCTCATCGCTGAGAGATCTAGAATTGAGTTGTCCCAATTGTTAGCAAGAGTGAGAAACTACTGTTTCGGGGCCAACAGGGCTCATCAGTCATTCTCGGTCTGCTGTGTCAATATGGATGACTCAACGTTTGGGTGACTAAGATCAAAGGTGGATTTCCTGATAACTTCGATCCATAGTCGCGTTTTTTGTGATTCTCTGGTGTAAGTATGAATTATGTAGGAAGGAATATAACGGCAAACAATGAAGAATGACATGGATGTGATGACAACCGTGTGACAAGCACATACAATCAAAATGATGCAATAATCATCAATAAAAAACATCAAAGTTTAGATTATTTCAATTTTTGGATTGGATGAATTGGATTGATGATACATATTGAATAATAATTTTGGTAGGTGGGCTGTGGGGTAGGTATGTGGGTGTATTTCTACAATGATTATGAAATTTTAATAGTACCTAGTACCTATTAATCACTATTGATGGAGAATATTGAATTGAATCATGCAGTGAGTAGGTACCATATTAAATATGGAAATGGAAAGTGCATTGAAACTTTTATTTGTTTGAGAAATTATGGATTCCTAAGATGACATATTTAAATCCAGGATGATAAATGTTTCATACTTACCTTTTTCAGAATGTGTAATGAAGAAGTCCCAGAAAGTGAAATTTTGTATGAGATTGTTATCCCAAGACTCAATACAAAGACCTTCCAGAGCCATGAGTTATTTATGAACAATTTTCCTCTTTTGTTGGTTCATCTTTTTCATCAGTGAAGAACTATTCCCTATTCCATGTCTACTTTTTTCTTCAAAGTTTTTGATTACAACAAAATTAATATGATGTTTGTCAAATACCCCTTTTTGTCAAAAATTCCACCACACAATAAATGTTCTGTGACCAAATGGCCAGTGGCACCAGGATGATAAGAAATTCCACAGAATAGTCAATAAAACGGTGATTCTGTCCCACTGGTGACACTAGCAATGTCAATTGAACACAACTTATATTGTAGATCACCAAATGGATTATCCAAAATTTTGGCAAACAGAAGTTTACATGAACTTCTCTGATTTTTGCAAATTCATTTGCCCTTAAAATTTTCCTGATTATAATCAGTAATACATCCAGTAATATCCTGTATTGTTACTATCTAAGAATTATCTTTGTGTTCATCAATAATAATAATAATAATACCAATAATAATAACAGTGATGTCTAACTTTGATATTTTCAAAAACTAAAATGTTTTATAATATAATATATTATATGAGTATTGTACAATTATTGTTTTACACCAAAAAAAGTTATAAGTATTTATTAAGAATTAAAAGAAAAGAGCAATTTTCTTTAATTTATTTCAAATATTTTTACTTCCTTGTTAATATCTCCCAACTTATTAGGTGATGAGTTGAATAAAATTATTCCATTATGTTCCACTATGAAATATTGATTGTTCCCAAAAATTTGCTATCAAAATAATTAATTGTTTCAATTAACAATCACCTATGAACTATATAGACTTGATTAAAACTGAAATTTGATATCCTAATCCTGATTTCAATCCCATTCTGACCAAATGAATAAAACAAACAATTTTGATTTACTTACTGGAAACAGATCTAGGAAACCTTAAGGTTTGTTAGATTGAAAGTTGGTTCTAAAGAAATTCCTTGAATTTACCAAAAAAAAAATCATGTCTGCTTGTTCTCTTAATACTTACTCAAAATATAACATTGTGGGAAATCCTGTAATATTATAATGAGTCCTGACAGCAGTGTTTTCTGGTCTATTAACATCTATTGCAGCAAGAACAGCTTCATCTTTCAATTCCTTTGCAGCATCTGCATATTCTGGTTTTAGAGTTTTGCAGAAACCACACCATGGTGCATAAAACATTACTAATAAAGGCTTTGCTTCCCTTTTGATAAATTTAGCAAGTGTCTGGAAGGAAAAAAACATCATATATCATCTGTCACTACAAAATGAAGTGCTGTGAAGTCATAAAATCATAGCTTACTTACCATAAAAGTGGTATATTGTGGTCAAATTATGGCCATCATGACCCCACTATAAAAACTACTTCACAACAAGGAGTTTTAAATAATTCACTTACACTTGCATCTGGGATATGAACAATATTAGTAGCAGAGTTGTCTTCCTCCCAAGGAATGTCACCCATTGGGTCCCTCATGAAATTTGTCATTGAACTCACAGTAGTTTTTCTATCATAATCTTTATTGAAATCTCCATCTTTGTAGTGCTTTATCACAAATGGATTATTGGGTATTTTCAACTTCTTGCACATCTTTTTAGCATCCCTGAAAATAGCAACATTGAAAATATAGTTAGTATTCGCAATTTCTTCAAGAATTTGAAGACCTACCCTGAGCAATCAACAAGAACCATAGTTCCTTCACCTTTAATATTGTTGGCCACTTCTTTGAATAGCTTGATAACATTTTGAGATTCTTTATAGGAATTGTGAAAGCAGACTAATACATTAGTTTTAGTTCTTAATATTTTTTTGAAGTCTTTAATATCACCTACCTCGTCCACTATCAGTTTCTTGTTCGTTTTGGCTGTACATTGTGAAAGTTGGAATGTTATGCACTAAAATATTTAATAAGGGTACAGACAAGACGAATTAGGAGAAAATAATACTCACATATATGACCAAGATTGTGTAGCTTTTCATATCACTATATTAATGAAGGTAATTTATTTTATAATAACTATTATAAATTTTAAAACATTATTTATTTCTCTTCAAACAATAAACCTAACCCTACTTTCGGTGTTGAAGCTAACGGTAAATTTGACATTGACATACTGACAGTATGAATGACTTGAATTTTGACATAGAATTAATAAGAGCATGGGAACATAGAACTCTCAAACTCGATATACTGAGTAATCAAATATCTGTCAGTCTAATTCTGTGATTTGATTTGAAAAAATGCGAACTCGAAGTGAAATAGAAGATAAATTGACTTGCAGTTCTTTCACTTCATTCTCGGGGACCGTGTTATAGGCTCAAAGAAGATCCGGCAACTATTGCCTCCAAGTTCAAGGCTCCTATCAAGGATCTCCTATCGAATTGGTTAAACAGATACCTCCAAGTAATAATGGGATATTTGCCAATGAAAAGGATTTCAACCCTTACACAATGTTTTTTAACCCATTTACGGAACATGAATTACTCTCATTTTGTTTAAAAACAAACTAAAATGCAATGAAATACAGGGTATTCTATTTGATATAACAATAAAGTTGTTGCTACTTTTTGATAGAAACGACAACACTGCATTGCTGAAATTATTTTGAATGAAGTGAGCGCCTATTCTAAAATATAAGCATGCATATTTTCATGTATTTCTCCTGACTGATTCTTGATATTAGAGCCCAGATAGCACAAGACGTCTTTAAGATGTCTGAATTATATCTTATCTTAGTCTGTACGTCTTACTCCCTGAATAAGACGTCTACAAGATGTCATCATTCAGACGTTTTAAAGATATCTGATTCTCACGTCCTGAATACGTCTTGAAGACATCGTAATAATACAAATGAGCAATAATGATATTTGGTTTATTATAATAAGTATTAATCATAATGACTTTTAGTGTGTCATATCTGAACGTTCTCCACTCTCAGAATTCCTGAATTCCACACTTATATAGTTATGGTTCTATTCTCATAATATGCGTTGAACTTTTAATACAAAATATAGGTATGATCATATTGATTCAGGCTAATAGAATATTTTCAATTTCATAATTTTTATAACTTCACCGTAATACATAGAGGGGTTATAGATTGTTCAGAGTAAGTTATTTTATAAATCGGGTGGGATGATTTGAAAATACCGCCATGTCAAACGAATGAGAGATCGTTGCGCCAGAGCCAGAACGGCAAATGCCAGTACTATCTGATTGTTTACATTTTACATTGTTTGGTTTTGGTGATGGTGTTTAGTAGTAGTGCTAGGCCGGTACGGGACCACATAGGGAAATCAATGTGTTAGACAGAGAGCATGGGCCGGATAGTGAGTCCGACAGAGATAGCAATATGGTTGGCTATAGCTATTGACATCTAACCTGACCTTCCTTAGATCATGCCGACGGGTGTCAACAACGACAAGTGTCAAAAATGGCAAGTGACAAATCACCTTTGATCGTGACATATGATCGTGACCTTCGACCTTAAATCGTGACCTTTGACCTTGAATCGTGACCTTCGACATTCGACCGTGGCCTTCAATCGTGACCTTTGACCTTGAATCATGACCTTTGACATTCAACCGTGGCATTTGATCGTGGCCTTCGACCTTGGATCACGACCCCCCCGACTTCTAATCGTGACCTTAAACCGTGACCTTTGACATCTAATCGTGACCTTCGACCTTGGATCGTGACCTTCGACATTTGACCGTGGCGCCTCCGACCATGGCCTTTGATCGTGACCTTCGACCTCGGATCGCAACCCCTGTCCTCTGATCATGACCTTTAACCTCCTTGTGACCTTTGACGTCTGATCATGACTTTAGACCTTCGATCTTGACCTGTGGCCTATGACTCCTTCGTAACCCTCGGCCAACGTCTTTCGATTCATGACGTTAGCCTTATATTGGTCTCATGACCTTGGTCTCATATTGGTCTCAAGTTGGGTGTTTTTTCTCATGGTCCCAACAGTCTTCACTAAGAACTCCAGACTTTGGACTCTTGACCCAAAACACTGACCCTTCGTGACACAGGATCATGATACGCCACTGGATTTCAGCATTTTCGTCGAGTCAGCAATTGTCCTTCAGCGATTCGCGATGCCAAGCAAACAATACCTCTTTTATTCCAACGCAGATGGCCGATTACATCATTCTTATCTGTCTGAGAAAAATGCCTCCTTTGTTATCGCTGGGACACCAAACATTCTTGAACAATACCTGTATCTACGTCCTGTCACCACGCACTGTCAGCGTTTCTTGGAATTTCGTCGAGTCGGCTATTGAGAAGTTTGCGACAAGAACAATGTCTCCTTTGTTTGCAGGTGGCCGATTACGTAACAACGTCGTCCGATTACATCATCCATCCATTGTTACGACGCAGGTGGTCGATGAGTCATCCAACAATGCCTCCTTTGTTCTCTCTATCAGACAGGATCAATCTTGAAATCTCATTTGTTATTTGCTGGCCGATGACGTCACAACCTCAAACCCTATATAAGGCGGTCAGAGCGTTCGGAGGCGTCATTCCATTCTAAACTCTGACACTGGTCAGTCGATCTGCTCCGCTCCCGTCTCTTCGGACATTACTGTCTGTTTGGTTGCTCCTGTTTGTTCGGTTGCTTCTGTCTGTTTTATTGTGTGTGGGTTGTGCCAGCTTATTCTAAAAGGTGAGTTCTTTATTTATTACGTTTCAAGGCCATGTGTTCGACCCTATTTGTGACTAGTGATCATTCCACCCAATACTAGAAGTAGTAAGTTTCTCATCAGATGGATGTTTCAGCTATCAACAATCGAGTTGCTGCCGTTAAGACAACTGTTGCTCTAAGTACCTTGCCCATCGACCAGCTTCACCCCATTGAGAATATCAGAGTGGTCCAGACGCTATTGTGGTAGAACTTGAAACATCTAACGTCTTTCTGTCGAGGAGGGTGGTTGCCACTTTCAAGTCTCAGCTTCCAGTTGTCACTCCAGGCAAATACAGCCTCATTCACGAAGGGAGCGAGACCAGACCCGCAGCCCTCTTTGAAGATATTGAAATACAGTGGTAGGGGTAAAATATTATTTTCTGTTTGATATTTCTCGCATCATGAATGTTAATAGTATAGCTTCTACTAGTGATGATATAGTTGAGAAATGTAAAAGAGCGGAGGAAATTTTGGGAAAGAAGAAGAACATATCAGCAGACGAAAGATTATTATGGATAAGGCAAATAAGGACGCATATAAGAGAATGTAATAGGGCAATCAGAGAGGCAAATTCGACAGCAGGGGTTTTAAGAAAATTACAAACAAATGTAGGGCATTTACAACGTTTCCAGAGTTTGATTAGGAAGAAGAATCATATTGGGACAGGACTTGGTAAACGTAAAAATAGAATAATATGGAGGAATGTTCAATCTGTTTTCGCGAGTAGAATTAGAACGGGTGTCATAATCAATTTATGTCATAAGGAGTTGATGCAATTCTTGCAGGATGCATCGCACATTTTCAAAATTCAAATTAGAAAAACTTTGAGGAAAATAACCATGTTGAAAGTCAACACCACCTTCTGTGGCGAGTTTATCAAGAAATCGATTGATGCGGAGATTATTGAATTCAAATATTTCAGTACAAAGAATGCTCCAATGGATGAGGGAACGGATTTAGAATGTTGGTTTGCGGAAAATGTGATTGATACTATAGTTAATAAACTTTCGGAATTCCAGGAGAAGGGTAGTGGCTGGGCCTTGAGGAAAATTGTTTCTCTAGAGATAAATGTTAATAAATTAGAGATTGGCAATGGTTCATCCTATATCAAGCTGCCAGAGAAGATTTTGAAAAAGCAAGCCTGCATCAATGTGAAAAACACTGGTGAGGCATGTTTCTTCTGGAGTATCGTGAGCGCTCTATATCCTGCTAACCAACATGTAGACAGGCCCAGCTCGTATCCTCATTACAGCCAAGTTTTGAATACCGCAGGCTTGAAAACACCTGTCACTATCAACGAAATTCCTAAATTTGAAAAACTTAATGATATCTCGGTGAACGTTTACGCCTTGGAACTGACTCATGGTAAACAGACGGAGTATTTTGAAGTAGTACCCATAAAACTCACGAAACATAAGCAGCCCAGACATGTCAATCTACTTCTCATTCAAAGTGAATATTTCCCCAAGCCCAACGACCATGATGCCTTGCCTGAAGATGATTACAACGAAGACATAAAGTATCATTATTGTTGGATAAAGGACATATCCAGATTGCTATCTTCACAACTCAATAAACATGATCACAAGAAACATTTCTGCGATAGGTGTCTAAATTATTTTTCGAGCGAATCCAAATTGGCAGATCACAGTGTTGTATGCGAAAATGTCAACGAATGCAAAATCTCTTTCCCCAAATACGATGCAGTTGTTTTCAAAAATCATATATATAAACAAAAGGCCGAATTCATCATCTACGGTGATTTTGAATCGGTTTTGGAGCCCTGTGATGACAAAATTTCTCAAAAAATGGCAAAATATCAAAAACACACAGCCTTCAGCGCAGGGTACTATTTCAAATGCTCATATGATGATAGCTTGTCCTATCACAAGAGTCATCGAGGTCCTGATTGCATGGATTGGTTTGCCATAGAAATGGCAGATGTCGCGAAATTTGTACAGTCTAAAATCAAAGACATTGTTCCTCTGACTCATTTCCCAAATAGGGTTGGTGTAACACACTGCCATATCTGTGAAAAGGAGTTTGCGGGCACTGATATCATTGTTAAAGACCACCATCATTTCACTGGTGCCTTCAGGGGGTGGGCGCATCAATCTTGTAATTTGGGGTACCGCAAGTCCTTCGTAGTGCCCATAGTGTTCCACAATTTTTCTGGATATGATTCTCATTTCCTTCTGAGAGAGATTGCCAAACGTGGACAGGTGAGCGTACTTCCGATAAATATGGGGAAATACATTTCTTTCACCCAACACAATACAGAAACCGGTATCAAATTCAGATTCATCGACTCTTTGAGATTTCTGGGTGCCAGTTTGGACGAATTGGCCTCCAATTTGACGAAGGATAACTTCCAAAACTTGA